TGTGCTTAAATTTTATTTTAACAGTTGTACTTCAAAAATAAAATATATGTCCTTTCTGCAGAAAAAATATACTTGATTTATACTTAACTTATTCCATTATTTATCTAGTTTAAATTTAATTAGACTTTAAACAACAAATATTTAAAATTTAATTGCAGATAACATGATATATAACACACGTTGTCACATTTCGGTACGTATATTTTTTAATATAGATTTTCATTAAACTCCTGGTTCTTTTATTGGTTAAAGCTGTAGTGTTATTTTGATGACCTAAAGTCATAAAATCTGTAGGATGCAATAGACCACGCAAGACCTTATCTATGCTGGAATTAGTTCACGTCAGATTTATTTGTTACTTCTATATGTAACAAGTTGAAACTGTGTCACCTGGAGCCTAATCTCAAGCTACCGTAACAGCTGATCAGCGTGGGTGCACCTTATGAATATTTGTGTTGAAATATTTTGACGAGGTATTTCGACATATACGATGGCGGGGACATTTTAGTGTAGACACATGAGTAATTACATGTACAGAGATGATTGAAATATATGTTATATTAGAAGGGTAATAATATGTTCTATGAATATTGTAGCATTGGGAGAAAAAGGCGCAGCTTGTCAGTCTCTAATCCTATGTTAATATGTCATCCATTTATCGTCAAATTTCTTCCTGTGTTTTCTTTATATGTGTGTATTTATTCATCAGAAAAAAACAATAAATTATTTGAACTTATTTAATTTTACAAGTTCATCAAAATATTATCCATTTTATACAGTTGTAATGTTACTTAATACACTACATTTAAGACGAATCTTAAAAATAACTTTCGTTTAATTAGATTAGTATTTAGAACTACGGCTGCGTATCCGTCGCTTACTCATATAGGTCGTATTCCACATTTTGTATATTTTTTTATATAACAGGATTTTTAAACAAATTAATGGCCAACCTGGTGATAACTCGCTTGTAGGCATGAAGAACAAGTCGCTTTTGCCTTGCATTACGGAAGAGTCATTCCTCCGTACCTGTATCATTGCAATCCTTTCAAACTAGAACACAACTTTCAGAGACAATTCCTCGGCGGCTAAAATCGCTGAGACAGAAATATTCACGCAGGTAACTGTATGCAAAGCCTACAACATTTTTTTATCGAATTTAGTGTTATTTTGGGGAAGTCCCATTTCATTGCTTAATGGATTTATATTACTTTGTTAAATTACGCTACCATTAGCATGTGTGAGACCACAAATATTCAGTGCGGAAACCTGACCATCACTACTGGAAGCGTTACGACCTTCTCTCTATTGGTGATCAAATTTCGACCGTTATTGAGTCTACGCCCAAATTGCAACACGTGTTTTGCCTTTGAACGAGGCTGTTGACTTGACTGTTCGGAGATCAAATAGTATTTAATTTACAAATACGAATTAAATGGTAGCGGAATTAAACAAAATAATATAAATCAATTAAATAATCTACGACTGTTAGCCTATTAATATTTTTAACACACTTCCAAAAGATTTGTAGATATTTCAATGAGAGGTAATGAATAGGTAGGTATACTTAGATCGTGATTATTATTTGCTTTTATTTTTTGTCGTCCAGTTTGCACACATATAATAATGTTCTTTTATTTCTTTGAATTTGTTGTATTTGTATATTATTAGTGTGTTGTGGAAATCACCATGAACCTTGTTAATAATTTTTGGTGTACATTCAATTTAGTTCCTTTCAGATTTTAACTATGTTCGTTATAACGCAGATAAAATATTACAATATGACGATGAGTTTACCGTCAGTCAGTAGATAGTTTATTAGTTACATATATAGGATCGGCACATAATTAATTTGTGAGCGCAAACATATTTCAATTTAAAGTCAACAAAGTGAAAGGCCTTATATCGGTCTATTGATGAATGCATGAATTAACTGGTCAAGTACGAATAGACCCCACATCTAAAGGGTTCCATATAATTAATACAAATCTTTGTTTGTATTATTCATGGTTCTCAATATATAAGTAGTTTTACGTGTGTATATTTTTTATTCTCTCGTTAAATATTTTAACATGGTTTGTACTTTACTGTTGTATCAAATGTACTTATTGTTATTTTTAATATGATAGCAACAGGTCATTTTCTGGACAAATCTTTGCCCATTGGTAAACCGATAAACTAATATTGAAGCACACTTCGTTATGCAAAGATGAGATGAGAGATGTAAGGGTACATACATACAGATGTTGCGTAATTTAGTATGTTAGTAACATCGATGTTTAATAACTTGTCTGTGGTAATTATAAAATAACAAAGATTGTATTGATACCGTTATAGTTGTTTCATTATCTCCGAAATTAAACTTTAGATGTCGATCGATTTTAGTGAAAGTGAGAGCTACGGTACGAATATTAATTTTAGTAGAGAGTTCTAGTTTGTTTGATTAATTAAATACAAGCAAAAAAATGAAAGGAAATTTCAATTTAAGATTAATGGCTAGCTGATTTATTTACATAACTATTTGTTGAACCCTTGGACTATGTTTAATAGGTTTGTTTCTGTAGGTCATGTCCTCTTCTTTCATGCAGATCTCTCGTTAACAGTTCCCATTTAATTCTGCTGATAAGTAGCTTGCTTTGTAGAGTGTTTTCCTGTCTATGTATGTTCTTATATGTGGGTCCTCATCTTGTCATGAAATTCTAAAGTGCAGGCACTTGACGACTTGGCATGTCAAAGTTATGGTTATGGGTAAAATTAATAGCCTAAGATATTGTTAAAAAAAAAACGACCTTCCGTACCAAGGTTACGGGCCTCTGTCCCCAGCTAGTCTGTGTAACGAGGCGAGAGCGTATCCTTCGCGAGGACAACCGGTTAGGGTGTCGACGACCTTGGATTTTATTTTCGTTACACATAATGATTCCTCATTCATTCTGGGCCAAGTATTTATATCCATTGAAAAAAGAACAGATGTGATTATAATTTTGTAACGAATGAACTAAAAAATTCTTAACCGACCATAAAAAAAATATACACCTACAATAATCGCCGCCGTGTGGAGCCAAGCCGTAATTTTTTGTGCAATTAAAAAGGCATAAAGTTTACGGTTTACCTGATATAAGCGGTATATAGGTGATATATAAGTTCATGAAAAGCACTGCGGACATCACGTTATCATGTGATGCCCGTGATACCAATCATGTTTCCCGGATTTCATTCATTCCCTAAGACAAACTTGTCATGTGTCTTATCATGTAATTTAACTGTCTTATCTCACCTTTCAATCGCAATACGTATTTCAAAGCGAGCTGCTTGACGGCTGATATGACTGAGGTACCCACAAAGAAGACTATACAAAGTCTACCTCAGTGAATCCTCCATCGCGTTGCAAGTTGTTAGTATCTTAATTATAACTGTAACATTGGAATGATACTAAAATAGATATTCTCATAATTTAATAATAGTTAGTGCAATACCTAGTAGTAGTCTTATATCTATGCAGTTCTTTAATCTTAAGCAATTTAGAGCGAACGACTATGAGTGTATGTGCACTCATATTCGTATATGAATAACGTGTCAATATTTGTAATGATTCATTGCTATATCTCTATTTCCGTTCTGAACTTGAAATTATCAAATAGTTTCTCATGCTGTTTCAATATGATAGAGCCTTTACTAGCAGTCTTTAGAGTCATAATTTCCTTTAGTCTGCAGATTGGTATGCGTACGCATCCTTCACAAGGACGACCAGTTGGACCAGTTAGATCTCTGACTGTAGATTAAAAGTTTTAGAATAAATTTGTAATATTTCGACCATGGAAAATTTGCCAGCAAGTTTAAAATTGTATAAGGAACGTTGGTTTTATGTAATAAAAATACTTTTGTATATGATTGGCAGTAAGAGAATTTCCGATACATCTCAATCAAATTCTTTTACCGGCCATTAATTCATCGTATTTTCGTGTAATTTCCATGTTCTTTTCACCTACCATTTTTGCAATTAATTCATGCATTTTTATTTCAAGTACAAATACTGCTACTTTCTTTAATGGGTGAATACGGAATGTTGTACGTGCCTGATGTAACGGTATACTCTGGTTAGGGAGTAGAGGATAAGATGTTCATGAAGTAAGGTTAGTTAGCGTATGGTGGAGAATTTATCAAGAAATCACAACGATGGTTTCCCCGCAGAGATTGACCTGAAATGGTATTAATTAACCTGTAGTAATGGGACTATCTACTAATAATTAATAATTAATTTTTCGAAAAATGTCTTTTATTCTTTGTTTACTTATAAATCAATAAATCTATATAATTTAATTTGGGTATTAAATAGTCGTTACTTTCGCCTAAGCAATGATGGGGCATTCAGAAAAGACATATCTCTTTATCTTATTAGTAAGCATTTTATCTTAATTAATAAAGACGCCCTACCAAATTAAACGCTGTTTGCTAAAATATTCCAAGTGCAATTAAAGGTGCCTCATTCTGTTTGAATGCATAGGCACTTATCGAAATTGCGAAGAAACCTTACGCAAAGCACACAAGAAATCAAGTATCTAACCCAAAAACGTTAATCTCTATGTAAACTGTAAGCCTTGTTTGAGATAGTGTTACAAGGCTATACTATTTAAACAAAACGTTAAATAATATACGAGTGTTGTTTCCTGAATTGTACGTACATAGGGGTCATTTGTAATTAGTCTGAATTAAAGTATATTCGTTATATTTAATCTAACAACCAATCAATAATAAAATAATTTTTCATATTATCTAAGAGGTCTGCTCTTATAGAACGTATAAAAATATTTATTATATTTTTAATATTAAAAATGTTTTTATGTCATAATTAAAAATATACGTATGTTTTTCCAGATTTTATTTAAATATAATAATAATATAAGTACCTTTGTAATTTTAAAAGAATATAAGTAAATAAAAGAATATAATAAATGAATAGCTGTTGAACACTTTTGCTAATATTTTGCATCTTTTGTCTACAGATCAAATTGGAGAGCGTGCTCGGGCTGACAGTGGGTAGTAATGCGGCTCTTGACTGTGATCCCAACACAGAGATCGTCGCTTATCCCGCAGGGTGAGTACAAATCACATAAATTTTACTTTAAGTTGATTGAGATAGAGAGTCTACTTGGGTTGTGGTCAAAGATGAACCAATATTTCGAATAGCACATACGATATAGGAATTAGCATAAGAAGTACTATTTTTATTACTTTTAATTTATTATCTATACTACAAATGTGGTCTCCGGAACTATTCACGGATTAACCAACCTACGAATATAAATCTGTTTTTAGACTAAATATCTATTTATAAAGGATATTTATATTGATAAATACCATAGATTGTCTATCACTGCAGTCAGGAATTTCAATTAGTTGCAAACAATGTACATTGGTCACGTGAAGTCAGGTCACTGGGTTACGACATGAAAATAAACAGTGGAAATGCGAGCTTACGATTTTACGATTGCGACGACGAGCTGTTTTCGTCATTTTAGTCTAAGTCGAGGGTTTTTGAGAAACCCTCAACAACCCTCAAAACCTAAAAAAAAATACGAAGATAATTGAAATATGCGACTAATACGATAGCGATACTTAATAGATTCTTAAAAAAATGCCTAAAAATTGAATTATAAAATTTAAAAACTAATTAAAAATGCATCAAGGCGTTCGCTACAATATTAATTCGCAATAAAATAACTGATAAGACTCGCAATTTTCTGTTGACAAAAAGTGATTACAATTTTGCATTTATTTATTTAAGGACTCTAACCTGTAAATAAAAATTTATCATTCGAAACAACAGTTATAATGATTCATCACGGCAATTTTGTTTGTATTGCATAACTATGGGAACCTCTCAAGTAAGATGGCTGTAACCAATTCAGCCTTAGTGATTTTGATGCTTAGTGCCATTTCAGTAGAGTCAATACTAGATATACATTTCACGGCGAGAGACATCCAATTTTCCGGTCGTAGCGCATCCCGCTTTAATTTGATACTGCGAGTACTTGATCTGTCTGGCAGACGTGCAATTCAATATTGCAATTTTATCTAATGGCAAATTTGAAAAATATTACATTTGTTTACTTAATTCAATTTTATTATGTTGACGTTTATAGTATTACACTGTTTGGTAAAAAAAGTTCAAATTTCTTGCTCGTTCTTATTGATTGGATCAGTAAATTAAAAAAAGAGCCTGTTAAAAAATGCTCAAATTATATTAATTTCAGTAGAGTTTATTTCAATTCTACTACAGTTCTATAACTTATTATTAATTTATTATTATTGGACCATCGCTATAGCGACCATAAACTCATGCATTGACGCACAATAAACCAGCGCTGTGCCAGAATTCGTTATATAATTGATCACAGTGTTATTCCTTTAATACTCATGAATATTAAAGGAATAACAATAGATGGCACATAATAAATATTAATATTGCTCTCTGTTTTTTTTTTTGTTATCAATTCATTCTATTTTTCCTTTGGTAATAGGCGAAAGGCTCTAAAATTAAAATAACTAGGTATATAATTAATTATGATATGAATCGGCAAGAACTTCCTCAACCTCCCTATAATCACCAATTCCCCATCGAATGTACTACGTAAACAGATTTTGCACATGCACACGCAATTATAGCGACATCAATTCTAAAAGACAGCAAAACGTATTCTTGATAATGCAAATTACACGATACTGTAGTACAGAAATTGAATAAAAAATATAGAAAACTGAATATACTCTATATCTGTGAAGTAATCCTTTGATAATGGCATAAGGGCAAAATCCATTGAATATGTCCTTTGTTCGATCGAGTTAAAAATCAACGCCGCCGTGTATTCAAAGAGTAGAAAATAATCGAGCTACCATTTCAATGTATTTTACTGCTTGGATTACAGTATTAATATTTGTACGCTGGAAATAGCAGAATATGATGAAACCTATATTATGTATAATTACCACCATTGTACATACCATATTCTGACAAATAAATATATTATTATTATTACTTCTTCAGTCGTACATTCTTGACAGAATGATCGTGCTTTTCATGATGGTATCAGAGCCACAATTTACGTATCAAATAGTTATACTTCCTTAAGATCGCAATACCTATAAAAAAATATGTGACTGTGTGCATTTTCTAACTGTTAATTGTGAGACACAATGCATTTTTTTTTTATAAATAGAAGGACCCGCACTTTTTACCTTCATGACGTTTTTGTTTGTAAACCGATTGGATTTGAAAACAAATATTAAATTTTAAATGAAGTTTATACCAGTACATTAGTATAAATCGCATCCAAATCAGTAATACTGTTCTGAGATTAGGTCGCATAAACTCAGATACACATTCTAACAACCATTGTTTTGGGTTCTATTACGTTGATAAACTCCCCTAATAATATACTTTAGCAATCATTTTTATATAGGTTAAAATAGGTTACATACAGTCTACAGAAGATTACATACAGTCTCCCGTGCTATGACTTTTAAACGTGCAAATATGACTGCGCTAAGCCAAGTTCATTAAAAATCAACATAAAATTGAATTATGATCATTATGTCAACTACTACCGCAACCTGTCAAACAGAAACGAACACAATGACCGGGGTTGCGTCATTATTTAGTACTGATACGTTCCCGTTATGGGTTTCGTCCATTCATGATGTTAGTATGACAGGGTTAATATTTATGATGAGCTATGATGTGTGCTATTGCCGACAGTCCGTTGAAAGGCAGGAAGTTTGAATTGGAATTTAAAAAAATATGATATTGTTTCTAGAGTATTATAGTAGATAGATAGATAGAATATACTTTATTTGAACGTACAGTGAAGAAGCACAAACAATATAATAAAAGACACATGTATCGTTACAATAAGGCGGCCTTATTGCTAAAAGCAATCTAGTTATGTATTCTTCTTCAACTATTAGGGACTATGAATTTAGTTGTCTATACTAATTTTTGGTTTACTAAAGCAACTAGGTATTTGTGTACATATTTTGAAAATGAAGTGCAAAATTTTAATAACCACGTATATGTCTTCAATGACGTTTTCATCATATCAAATTACGGGATTTTTAATAATTATTATAATTATGTTTCTATTTTATGGAATCCGTTATGTGACTATTATGCCGGTAAAATTTTTGTTACAATAGATTTTTTTCTACGTTATTGCATATTTGTGTAGTTTAATGTTTTACTAATGGGAAGATATATTATGATAGAAATGAATATTATATATATTCATTTCATATACATTCATTAGATTAATCGGAATCGGAACAAAGTTTTTTCTGTGATTTATTTAGGTAATAAACTTATCTATCTTTATATGATTGTGAAAGTTTTATTTGTTATGAGACGACACTGTATTGTAACAAATACAAAATGTTATTGCTATTAAGAAATTAGAATAATGTAATGTACTTACAATATGTATTTGTTATAACAAAGGACTTGGCCTCGTTCGCTAACGAGCGCGAATCTATCAACTTAACAGATAAGACACGTTTCATAATAAACATAATGTTTACAATACAAATATTACTAAACCGGTAGTGACATAGGACTGAATAAATTAACACTAGTACACGTATCTGATGAGTAGTGTTATCAGTTTAGTATATTTCAAATATAATAAATAGTAAATTATTACATTTATCATAGTGCCTATCAGCAGGCCTATCAACCTATGGAACATCCTTAGGCTGAACATAATATTTTTTATTTATGTCACATACAATTACATCTATTCACACAAAAAAAAACATTGAAATCCAACGTTCCGCGTTGCAATGTACCCAAGATAGTGGTAACGTTGCCTCTTTCAATAGCCATACCTACTTTTAGGGCAAAATAGCTAGCAGCTTTCAAGTCACAAGTATCTCGAATAGCCGCGCTGAAATACTAGTCAAAAAATAATTTAGCTTCCATGCTCCTTGGGCCTCCATGGCAAATAGCAAAAACCAATAAGACCTCTGTAAATTCGAGTATTTGCGTTTCTATATCTCTTCTACAGACTTAGTATTTACTACTTTATAGATAAACCGTAATATAAATATGATGTGCATCCTATGTGCAGGGTGCATAGCATAACGGCTATAGGGTTTTGTAATAGTATTGATTGCGGTAGACGGCAGACGGCAGACGGCGCGGGTGCGGCGGAGGGCGCGGCGCGGCACACCTTTAAATCGATACCCATACATTTTGTTTTTCAATTTTAATTGAAGTCGGCTAAGTCTTAATATTAACGGATTTGATATCTTAGCACAGACTAAAGAGGTTGTATAGAAATAATGTGGAATATAGAGTGAGCTTGAGCGATCAATAAATTACCACGTTTAGAAATAAATCTATACTTGTGTTTTGGACATTCATTCAAATATAGATTCCATCTAAAAAGTTGTTACACTTGCATCACAAACGTTTCTTTGCACAGTAAAAAAATACGACCACATACAGCTAATGTTCTTTTTTTTTTTAAATAACAATAGATACTGTTTCTTATAATAGGACAACTTTTGTATATATAAAATGTGCATAATAAAAAAACATTAGTGCTATTTTATTGTTGACTAGTTGGTATTAATAAAACCAATTAATATTTCAACGATGGTAAATATAGTGATCTGTGTATCTACTGTACTTAGGTTCTAAAATATTAAAAACTGCCTGACTAAAGTTGTCTAATTGTAATGGAAAGGCAAGAAAACCAGAATTTATCAGGCCCTTTTACAATTTCAGTCCAAACTGACCCGTCCGTCTACCCCGCATATGATATTAAAACAATCGGACTCTAAGCACGTGAGCCAAGCAAGTGACAGGTAACGGCTAGTTACTAATAATAGACATAACAGACAGACCGAGTACAAATCAGAGACTATAAATGTTTCGCGGAAACGGAAGTGAAGTACAGTTGAACGTGATTGTCGGTCGTCGCCCTGTCCACTAGGTTTTTGTCTTGATGTCCCGTTGTAGGCTGTATTACGAAACGTAAAATATATGTATAGGTAGGTTTTTTGCTATTATGAACGGCAAACCACGCGACGATCTGTCTGATAGAAAATGGTTACGGTTTGATAACTTCAAAAGCCATACATTACAGTTTCGATTCCAAGCTGAGTCGATTAATTCCCTGACCATAGAGTGATAGAATTTGGTGTAAATGTGTCAATTGATAAATTTGCGAAATAAATTCTTTCTATTTATCCGTAAAAAGAGCTCTTAAAAATTCATATCACAGCACGGCGTCTTGTAAAACCAATCGATTGAAATGCAAGACATACAAGCTAACAAGCTTAACCCGATGATTAGTAAGTACAATAGACAAAACACGACAGTTATATGTACACCATGGTATTTGTAGCCGTGAGACCGTCCGACAGTTCGTCATACATACGAATAAGGTATCAGCCTCGTTAGAGATACGGTTGCGGGGTGTGATGTATTCAGTGACAAGCGTAGCGTATGGCGGATAACGGTCTAATTATGTAGTTTAATATGTTAAATATATACAATTTAATATATTAATTTAATTATACATTTTGTTTATAATAAATAGCACTTGCGTATTGTGGAAAATATTTTGATATAATATACTCTGTTAATTGATCAATATGATCTGTTCGTAATACATGTTGACAGATTTTCAATATATGAAGATGAATGAATATATGAGATGTCTCTGCCTTTTCTTATCCTATATAATTGGTGTCTTTTGAACAGACTAATTCATTAGTTCAGAATTCACCAAATACATGAAAATATTGTTAGTAGTTTATAAGATAAAAGATAAGAGATTTTAAATCAGTATTTATATGTATACAATTAGTTTATATGTACACAATGTATCAATTATGGCGTAATCTTTATGACATTGTCAATAATTATTATCAACAGTAATGAAAGCTTTTGAAAGATCTTTATCACGGGCAGTCCAATGGATTTACTATGTAATGCAGTGATTGTAGTTTAGTGACCTCATAGCCATGAAACTTGTGCAATCGCTAATATTAGAACAATGTCATCTTGACATCTTATTTGTTTGAAATTGTTTATTGTCTATGTTAAAATCTTATGATGATGATATGATCATCACGATGTCATGGACGTCCAGTGTTTTAAATTAAAAACATTCATACCCCTCAATTTGAGAAACGCTTCGCTCCTCAGTATGGTGCCACCAAACTCTTCCCATGCTAACAGTCGAAGGTTTAAACTTCTTTTAACCCACGCGCATTTTACTTACACATGCATTTACATATTGTCACTGCTTTTTAACTATGTGGGAGTTATTATGTGTTGGACTATGTGGTCGATTCTTGAATGAGGTTTGGGGTTGAATTATCGTTGAGGCCAACGAGCACTGAATTGATTCATAGTATGTTAATATTATATTAAGAGATTAGCTATTAAGTGATTCCTAAAATTTCAGTAGATTTGTATGGAAGGAGTGATGGAATAAGTTCGCGTAAAGTCTCACCAATTTACCTAGTCATTTATACTCTAATAAAACAACTCTAATTTTGTGTTTGTGGAGAGCATCTTTGGATATATTAGTGTTGTTCAAAAGCAGGATAGGTCGCATTTACTCGATAAACAATAGAGATTTTTTTCTTGTTTTATTAAATACAGGATTTTGTTATCTCTTGCACCCTTGATAAACTTATCTAATTTAACTTCGTTAAGTCATTGTTCGAAAACAAACTTTTCTAATTAGTTCAGAACTAAGTGTTGTATGGGGATTGTTAGTAATGTGGACTAACGATCCCATTGCTAGCAATAAACCATATCAGGTTGACCTCCATGCTTTTCCCTCTGAAAACCATTGTGATACATTTCTGGCGATTTCATATGACTTAATTTCGTCACCATGGGCTAATTCTTCCTCCAATAAACCTGACCTCTTGTTCATCTTATCGCGTTCCACTGGTACAGCCAGCCAGCGTACACCGTTAGTGTAGGCGGGTATACTATACCATTATCATACATAAAAAAAAGTGTGTTGTATGCTGCCCCTTATATTTAAAATAATCCGTCAAGTCAATGTTGAACTCTGGTGTGAAAAGTTGCATAAAATATGAAAATTCTTGTGCACTTTTCTTTAAATTTACCAATCCCAGTAATCGTTATCATCTAACTTGTGTGGCATACTATGCTGTTTTATAATATCGATCAATTGCCTTACCAATAAAATGTTGCTATCAGTATTATACGTTAAATACATTTTATAATATTTTCAGATGCACGGTGGTGTTGTACAACGTCAGGAAAAACAGACAGTCCCACGTGCTGAATGCGTCACGCAAAAGCGTGACGTGCGTTGCGTTCTCTCCCGATGGGCGGTACCTTGCGACTGGGGAGTGTGGACACGCGCCCGCTGTGCGAGTGTGGGATCTACACGTGGGTGACATTTATTTATTAATTACCTATGTTTACATTAGTTTTTAATTATTAACTTTAAAATTTATGTTATATGTTTATCATCTATAACATAAAATTATAGAAATGTGAATTTTATAATTAATAATAAATATTATTTGATATGTTTAAGATTCAGGCCATTTGTTTGTGCCCTCATAAAACTATTTATACAAAGAAATTGCCCTTAATGTTTTTTATAACCAGTTTATTTAGTTTAATTTGAATAATCTACCTTTACATTGTTTTTTTTTATAAACGTTTTTAATATACAATTGACAATGAATACGCCTACCGCCATCTATTGTTGAGTACTTGTTACTATTCTTGTTGTTTACTGGTATGGTAGCGCCATCTATCGTTAAATAGGTAATAGCTTGTTTTGTTATTGCAATGTTTATTTGCCTGTTGGTTTATAATATATTAGATATATTAGTGGTATAGTACCATGTAGTCGAGAACCTTTGTGAAGGCATTTGATAATACCTTAAATAAATTATTTATATAACACAAAAATATCCTATATTCTACCAACAAATACAAATACTTTTTGTATTTGTCATAATAATGCTATCAAAAATTAATAATTAGTCATCACTAGTATCTGTGATTACCTCAATTTCATCTATTTCTATTATTTTAAGAAGCAAATTTGTAATGAAAATTTAAAAAATAATAGAAAATAAAAAATGTAAATGTCTAAAATGTCTATAAAAACATGTGTCAAAAGTGTGTGTCTTACATATGTAAGAAAATATTATAAAAAGAGGTCGCCAACATAGTATTAAAATTAAGTATACTATATTTCAGGATCCAACCGCTTCCGGGGCCGTGCAGATAGCAGAGTTTCCAGGACACACCCATGGCGTCAGTTGTGTGGTGAGTTCTTTTATCATTAGTATATTATATGTACAATTGTCTTACATAAGACACCTATTAAGTAAATTTACATTAGAATATGCTGAACTTTTTTTTAGAGCAAATGTTTTTTTATCTTATTCGTTTATCTCCTTTTCAATGATGGAACAGTCAAAGATCTTACTTTCAGAGCAAATTATAAAGTTTGTTCCTCTTTTTGCCAATTTTTAAAAACGCTCTGACATAATAGTATTTCTATTTCAACGACGATAGCGACGTCATATAATTTTATATATTTTTTATTATTATATTTTCAGGCATTCTCGACGTCATCGAAATATCTAGTGTCAGTTGGGTCGCAACATGACATGATAGTCAATGTATGGGACTGGCGCGCCAATCTCAAACTGGCCAGCAATAAGGTAAAAATGCCATAAATTATATCCCATTTTTATTAAGTATATTGTATGTAACCCAGTATATTCTTAGCTATCATTTACCACCTTAGTGGCTGAAGTGATTTCTGTAAGTAAGCCTGAAGAAAACATTATTGTATCAGTACATGTTATAATCTGAATAAGTAGTAGACTATTGTATAAGTACCATTATCATATTACTTTAATATTACGTTTTTGGCTTGTAGGGTAAAAGGCAGGGTAAAGGTACAAAATCACCGTCTTCAGAAATTGCAGTGTGTAATTGCCCCAGTACTTATGACTGCTTCAGTACATTCTCTGTTTATCTATTTGTATTAGATGAACAATCAACTTTCTTCCATTACCAATATCATCTTAACAGTGCTAAAAAAATAAAATATATGTTTAATATAGTCTGTAGAAGATATTTGCCATGTTAGTTCAAATAAGCTATCATTTTTTCCCATTGCCAGTCGCCAGGTTATGATACGTAAAAAATACAACATATTCTTAATAAAATAAAATTTCCACTTACAGGTCTCGTCCAGAGTGAAGGCAGTGAGTTTCTCTGAAAATGGAAATTACTTCGTCACTGTAGGGTTTAGACATGTCAAGTTCTGGTATCTTGAGTACTCTAGGAATGCAAAGGTAAATTATTACATTATATTATCACATGTATTGGATCGATTAATTCATTTATATGGGTCTTTACTTCTCGCGATTTTTTTGCTAGTTAGTTTTAAAAATATTGCAATGCTATATTACGCTTTATTACTACATTATTATTTTTTATTCCTCCGTAATATTATTTTAGAGTTCTATATATTTACATTATACTATCAACTTAAACACATTTATTTCTGTCTCACCTATTTTAAATGACAAACTATTTTACACATGTGTTTCGATTATAGAATGACACATGACAGTGAATTTACACGATACAGCGGCATGATATTTTAGTTCTATGGGATGACAACGCATTAGTTGTACCGTGGTACCGCCACCACGTAATGTATTGTTCTTGTATATAGGCAATGAACCTTATTATTAGGTTCTGTTTACCATTCTTGTTCAAAGCGTACACTATTAATTGAAAATCTACTTGTAATAAAAATCATTGATTTCACTATCTTACCTATATTATAAACTCGAAAGTTTGTGAGTATAGATCGATGTATTAATGTTTTTTATTCTTTCATGCAAAGAGTACTGAATGAATATGGATGAAACTCTACAATAATATAGCTTATAATCAGATTAACACATAGGGTATAATTTAAAAAGATATTATGTAAATTGGCCGCAATAGAATAATGTCAAGTAAGTGTGTTACAGAAAATGTTGCACGAATCAGGCGGTTTATTTCTTATTGTGGTTTACAGTTCAAAGAGCCGGTACCCCTGATGGGGCGGTCTGCGATCCTTGGCGAGCAGAAGGATAACGAGTTCTGCGATGTGGTTTGTGGACGCGGTGCTTCGGCCGACAGCACGTATGCCATCACACGCGGCGGCTTGCTTTGCGAATTCAACGGCCGTCGCTTGCTCGACAAATGGGTCGAGCTTAGGGTTAGTGCATTTTTTAATGAATAAATAAAATATAAACAGAACACAAAATATATGCTTAATGGATACAGTAATATATAAGTATGTCAGACGACTTCATACGAATATATATGTATGTATCAATGTATGTTTATGTATCAGACGACGTCGGCCAACTGTATGGCTATCGGTAACGAGTATATCTTCGTGGGATGCGCGGAGGGCATCGTGCGGTGTTTTTCGCCAACGGCGCTGCAGTATATCACAACACTACCTCGGACGCACTATCTCGGAGTCGACGTCGCTCAGGGTTCCTCCATCAGGTACTTTCATATACCAAATTTAGTGTCTAAATCTCACATCCTCATTTGAAATCATCCCATTTAATATACTTCTAGTAATACTATACTTTGTACTAACTACCTGTACTAGTTTCGACCTTTTACAATAGTGTTAAGAACATCTAAATTTCTTAAAAACATTACAATATACACATTACAATATACACAATGCTTTGTGATAAATAAGGTTTCAAGAGATCAAAGAATAAAACAAAAAAATTATCTCAAGACAATTCACACAGCGCCATCTAGTCGCAGGCTAAGCGGAGGCTATATTATAGGTACTAGAGAATTGATGCAAATATATAGATTTTTTCAAAATATATAACACAACAATATAAACAATCATAATGATTGAATACAAAATGTTTGTATTGTGCGAGGAATCTAACCCACCTCCTCGAAATCGGGGTCAGCCTTCTCAAAAGAACACCAGTGCTGTGCTAAACTGCTCTTATTTACCATTCAATCAGATGAGACTACAAGTAATGTAAAAGTGAAAATAAGTGATATTGTATTTTTTTCCAGCCATATGTTTACACAACCACAGAATGCGCGATACCCAGACGCTGTAGCGTTAACATACGATGAGCGGAACCACAAGCTCACGTGTGTGTACAACGATCATAGTTTATATGTGTGGGACGTCAGAGATATTAAAAGGGTGAGTTAGAGAAGTATTATCAACAGTTTAAGATTTGTTTTTTAATAGAAAGTCTATTTAATATGTCACAAAATTTGATTGAAATCTCTATGAAGGTACATCCCATTGGTCAAAAGATTCTTTGGTTCATAATGCTGTTAACACATTTTAGATCATGGTAAGGTCACAAATAAGGTACAGTTTCACTGATTTACATAATTTGCAAACAAAACAGTTATTTGCAAATATAATATCAATGTTTTAGGTACATGGTTATTTTTGTTTTGTATTATTTTAGGAGTACTAATATCTAGTAATAATATATTTATGTATAAATTAGACTTTCAAAAATGTCTTAGATATTAAATGACGTTTTAATAATCACGCATCACGTAATTACTAGATATCTATCATGTATAAAACGTATATGTATATGTACATTTACATGTATATCATGTACAAAATACAATTTTAAAACATGAAAATGATCTTTAAATTTTTCATAATAACCGATCATGTAGAATATCAAATATAGAATGATATGGCTACTCCTATGGCCATATCATTCTATATTTGATATTATACATTAAAAGAATAGACTTACATGTAAATCTGGTTATCACTTTTCCTTGTGGTTTTACAGGTGGGTAAATGCCACTCGGCGTTATACCACTCGGCGTGCATCTGGGGCGTGGACGTAGCGCCGAGCGGCGGGCCACTGCCGCCGGGAACGTTCCTCACGTGCTCTAGCGACGACACTGTTCGCGCCTGGAACCTTTCCTCCGCCTCCAACATCTATAGCAACGTGAGTTGTTTTTAATACATGATAATGGTATGGTTCATTCGCTTGCGCTAACGGTTTACGCTGGCGGAGCACTAGTGGAGGATGATAAGATGAGCATGAGGTCAGGTCAGTTAGCCCATCGTGGTAAATTCACTATTGTATATTAGGACTACATTTATATATGACTATATTAGTAGGATTTTTTTTGTGTTGACAAAAAAAATCACCACTACACAATTGGTTAGATATAAGACATTCATAAAGTGTCCGCATTAATCTAAACAAGCTGTATTGTGACAAATCCTATCCTATTCTGATCTCACAGTCTCTCTAAAGGTCTTAGGGTGAAAATAAAATTAAAAAGTTTCCTTATTACATGAATTCGTGACGCATTAAAATTTTTGTATTCCAGGAGCTGTCCAAAGTGATATATGTCGATCCTGAATTAAAGTTCCTGAAGGATGTAGACCTGACAGCAACTAGCGATAAAGACAAGTCGAAATCTTACGACGACAAGACTGGAGTTAGGTATGTTTGCGTATCTAATAATATCGTGAACTTATTATTCTTCATATATGTGTTCTTCGGTTTAAACCTAATCTGGTTACGCCAAATGAGCGGTAGATTAAAATAATAAAACTTTCGAATAGTTATTATTATTTTAATCTACCGCTCATTCGGAAAGCTGTGTCATCACAAGAAGAACGAGCGAGAAACTTGCGTGTTCCTCTTTTAAATAATCATTGTAACTCTTTAAATACATAGCATTTCCATCACAATGGTTGTATAGTATCAATTAATCGCCGTTCTCATAACGAAGTCGCCAACTCGAATGAGACGCAGTGTTAATGCGTGTCGGTGTACGTAGATGCGTGCGCGTGTCCCCGGACGGCGCGCACGTGGCGGCGGGCGACCGCGCGGGCAACGTGCACGTGCACCGCGCGGACGGCGGCGGCGGCGGCGGCCCGCTGCACACGCTGGAGGCGCACGACGCAGAGGTGCTCTGCCTCGAGTACTCGGCCCGGCCCCGCCTGCTCGCCTCCGCCTCCAGGGACCGCCTCATACACGTGTTCCGCGTCGACCAGGTGCGTACCGCTATGACGCACGTCTATACCTTCTAACAGATTACACTAATAGTCGTTTCTAGTGATTTAGTCGGATTTTTTAAATATAAGATAAATTATCTTCGTCCCCATGATACAATGTATATTCCTGTTAAATATCATTCAGGCTTTAGTCGTGAAAAGGTAACAAGTAGAAAGACAAACTTACTTTCGAATTTATTAATTATTATACATATATAAATCTCGTGTTGGAGAGACAGAACTTGCATGCCACGGATTCACCTTGCGGGTGACAAGTAAATAGTGTGGCAAAGTGAGTAACTAAGAAGTTTCGGGGACTTGTGACCCGAGATTAGGTTTAATTAAGGGACTCGTTTGTCGACGTACCGTTCCGTACAACATTTACCGTATATATGGGTAAACTCCGAAACTATTTGACCTATGTTTATGAAACTTAGGTCCCAATTTGGTGCAATAAAAAAGATTGGATAGTGTTTATTTACCTTAATATTCGAATTACTGAACCACTGAGTCTGAGTCAGTTCCAGTAGTAATAAATAGCTGATGAGTAACTATGGCGCGGAAACAACAACTTATCCGTTGTTGTAATTTGTACTGCAAAACATGTATAAATAATTAATATTTTTCTATGAATATAGTTTTAAAGTTCCACTATTTTAATATATATATATATATATATATATATATTTTTTACAGGATTATCAATTATTGCAAACTTTAGACGAGCACTCGTCATCTATAACCGCAGTCCGATTTCTGAGTACGGACAGACAGCTACAAATGGTTTCTTGTGGAGCAGATAAGACTATACTCTTTAGACAGATACGAACGGTGAGTGTATAATTTAGTATAAGTTATAATTTAGATTGGCTATTGACTAGGTTACGATAAAGAATACTGTAGTCATGAGTTGCTTTATTTTTTTAATGGAATGTTTATTGATAATAATATTTTAGCAATGTGATACTGAGTGTAATATTGTACTATACAATTTTTTATAGTTTAATAACAAATTCTGTGATTTTATTGAAGTTTGAAATTGGAATGGTAAACAAACTGACGGCCCATCTGATGGTAACAATCGCCCATATACATGAACGATCATCACATTGTTATGTAACATCCGGTGCTTAAGTCATCAATTGAATATGACAACTTTTTAATTGGCAATATTACGTCTTGGACATAGTTATTACCAATCTCCTATAAGACCTGTAATGTATGTGGTCGTAAAACTTAATGCCTTTCACTTCAACTCTAATATCCATGATACCACTACATTGCTATTCCAAAGGACCGGCATAAGGCATAAACCCTTTTATCCTGTAATTTCTTAGTGGAGTTATTCTGTAATATTTTCTAAAATTTACGTTTATTTAATGTAATAGAGTATTACTAATATAATATGTGTACTTTTGTTTCAGAATCAAGATGGTAGCTATCAATTTGCTCGAGGACAGAACGTGTCCGGTCGAACCACTCTGTATGATATGGAGGTGGATGCGGGCGGCAGACATATACTTACGGCCTGCCAGGTCAGTGTTTAATGTAACCTTTATTTAATTACTACTTCTTTGTAATTTGTATGTAATGGTAGAGTGGTGACAAATTGTGTATTCAGTATTGATTTATACCAATAATTAAATTATAATATCTACGGTAAATATCACTATAAATATATATTATTGGTACTATTTGTGTGACTGATAAAATCACGGATCTTTCCACGTTTATTAATTTTATTGAGTTCCCGATATTTCGGCAGTGTTTCAACCGCTATTATCAGGGTTAAACTGAAGAGCAACGGGTAGATGGTAAATAAAATCTTTTATGGTTAAACATATTCGTCTACATGTCATCGTTTGTTGCTATTATTGAAAACAATTCGGTTGGAACAGTGCCGAAATATTGGAAACTCAATAAAGATAAATAAAACGTAGTAAGATCTTGTGATTTTTTCTAATTGTACGTATATAATTACTGTGTCAAATTAAAAAAAGGTACTGTTATGTTAGAAAATGTATTTATTTATGTAAAACTTATGTATAGGATCGCAACGTTCGCGTATACAGTGCGGCGCAGGGACGGCATACCAAGACCTTCCGAGGGACCACCGCAGAAGATGGCACACTCATCAAGGTGATTAATAACCTCACTCAGCGGCGCTTGGATCTATAGCTTTGTTTCCTTAGAAACAAGACAGGTCGCAGACCTACTGCTGCCATAAAGCAACTTGTTGCTGGTTTAGTTTGAAGGATGAGATATTGAAATTACAGGATATATATGTTATTATGATTTATAAGCTACTTTACTGTAAAGTTTCATCAAAATCTATACTCACAAATTTTCGCATTTATAATATTAGTAAGGTTTACTCTAATATTATATCACTAAAATAGATATTTGTTTACATTATACTAGGTGGCACTAGATAGCAGCGGTATATACCTGGCGACATCGAGTACGGACAAGATACTCAGCGTGTACGATTATTATTCTGGCGAGTGTATGGCTACCATGTATGGGCATTCGGAGATTGTTACTGGACTCAGGTTTGTGGTGATATAACAATAATTTGACACTACAATCCCTTATCCATATCACATCAAGTTAAAATATCTTTATTCATGTCTATTACAAACTATTATGATATGTTAAATCTATGTTCAGTTCGGATTTTTTCGAGCTGACAACTGACTTATTATTTTCAAATGAGCTTGTACATATTTACAATAACCGAGATTCATATATATGGTATAAAAATACACAATTCAAACCACAGATTTTTTTTAAAAATATAATTTTTCCAGCAGACTTTAATTGATCTTTAAAAGGGGCTTCAATAATTATATAGAATTAAGTAAAAAATGTGTAAGCCAAGTAAGTAGATTTAGGATTAAGCACTCACTATGATTACTCTGTCACAGGTTCACCCCGGACTGCCAACATTTGGTGTCAGCGTCAGGAGACGGTTGCATCTTCGTGTGGAGAGTGCCACATGACATGGTGGTCACCATGCGAGCCCGACTCGCACAGCAAGCAATCCGGCAGGGCAAGTTAGTATCATTTCATTATACAAGTCTTCTAATAATGGTGCATGCTTAAAACTTAAAGCAATACCGCTCCTCACAGTAGTAGTAGTTCTGTTTGTTTATGTAATATTAAATTTCCTGACGAAGTTGGTAGTGTGAACCGATCTTCGTGATAATTTTCAAATTTTTGATGGTAAAATAAAAGATTGCAAAGAAGTATCGTCATTCGTAAACTTAGAAGCATGAAACTTATTTTTTAGGCTGATAATTAACTATTCTATAAATAAATATGAGATTCAAAGTTTGTAAAAAATACCCTTAAAATAAAAAAACAATAATCAACAGTAAATTAAAACAGAGCGTGTGGAAGTTTGTATGAAAATTCGTCAGTCGTCGTCTATTCTACCCGGACAAAGCCGCGGGCGCGGGCTAGTATTTTATATTAAAGCCAAGCACATGGTATTACAACTTATAATAACAAAATGAATTATTGCACAGGAAAGTGTCGGGACCAGCCAACGGCATGGCGGCGTTGGATAGCGAAAGTGATTCACACTTCGGGTCTCCGCCCCGTGACATGCCTGAACAAACCGTGTACGGAACTCCCATTGTTCCAGATTATACGTGAGTGATTTATAATGAATATATTTTCGTGTCGGACTTTGAGGTTTTACATTAAAGAATCGTAAGAATTTTTGAAATAGTAGTGTTTGAAAATAATAAAAACTTGTAAATTAGGTGCGAAAGGTAACAGTGAAAAAATAAAAGTGAAATATGTGACAATTTTAAAAATGGTAAAAAATGGCACTATAATTTGATACAAAAATAAAGATATAAAACTGATAAAGGTGATAAAGAAGAAAGACTTGAAAATTTATATTTTTGTTTGTTTGTTACGAATAAACTTAAAAACTACTGGACCAATTAAAGAAATCTATCACCATTAGGATACTATGTTATCCTTAAGTAACATGGGCTATATTTATTTCTATAAAACATATTAGTCCCCACTAATAAAAGCCATAGTCTTAAGCCAATGTGAAGTGTTAAAAATATGTGAAGCTGGGAGGGACCGCTAGTTGCTTATGTACGTATAATGTGTACTATGTAATATAATATATTAATATAGATTATAGCATTTATACAATAGCATGTGAAATTGCGGATCTCTTCCTCTGAGAAGTGAGTTTAAAGGAATTTCCTATAATAACTTGCAGGTTACGCATCGGGAAGTTGCCGACGTGGGCCAAGAAGAGCCTGGGCGACGCCGTGCCGGCCGCGCCCCCCGCCGGCCCCGCCGCGCCCTCCGCCCCCGCCGCCCCCGCGCACCCGCCCCGCGGCAAGTGGGCCACCAGGGTACAGCCAGGTAATTACAAAAATTATTTACCACTCGCCGTACACGCGACTTCGTCCGCCTGGGATTTAACTTTTTTTTCTGAAATAAAATAGTTTTTTTTAAATAAAACAATTTTCTAAAATAATTTTTTAACTAAAAGTAGTCTGTAGCCTGATCAAACAGACAGACAAAAATTGTAAAATATGTTATTTTAGCGTATGTACCGTATTTATATTAATATATGCATGTAGTAAAAAACGGTTATTCTGTACTTTTTGCGTGAAATGGTTACAAACGTCCATCCATATCCATATTCACATACTTCCGCGTTGATATATATTACTAATATTCCTTGACACAGTTCCGTAATGTCTGCGTTATTCAGTATATTTCCGAAATAATGTTTAATAAAAACCAGGAATGATTGTATATTTTCCTAAAGTCCTCAAAACCAAGACAAAAAAATATGACATATTTATAAAAGTAATGGTGGACCAATTGTTGTTGGCAACAACAGTCAATGTTGGCTGATAATTGCAAAATAAATATTTCTTTTGTCACTTTTTTTATCATTTTGTTATATGTAATTAGTTATTTATTCCATGTACATACTTCAGCATTTACCCATATTTCAATTAACCATTTTCAATGTTTTAAATAGACAAACGCGTGGACTCAGACGGTTCCAAAGATAGTTCTTTAGACAGCGGTACTGACACTAGATATATAGAAAAAAGAAGAGATCAAACAAACGTGAAACAGGTATGTAAATTTGTGTATAATGGTGGTGATTCAGGATTGTGCTCAAATATTCTAAATACGATTTTGAACCTTATAACTGATATTCTTAGTATACTTTTTTGTACGTATGATTTCATTTTTTAATAGTAGTTACTTTAAAATGTATTGCACTTTCTTTTTCTTTTCGATATTAATATGATTCCAATAATCATATTAATATCTTGTGTATAATTACTTTTGAATTATTCATTATCGTTGTTTTTCATAGCTTAAAGTCTTGCTATTTCCAAAAGAGAATTAGCCTAAGGTCAAGCCTCCGCTTTTAAAAGTAAGCTGTAATCAATAGCATAAAGTATATTACGCCGACAATAAATCAAGTTTGAAGCAGGAAATCGTGACTCTTTCTGCCATCATGAAGATACTTCTCCAAATCTTATTGTACCATACAATATTTTAATGATTTGTTTTTACTGGGTAAATAATTCAAATATGCAAAGTAATTAGAATATTTGAGCACACTCTTATATTTTTTATAATTACCTTTCCTCTCTAATGTGTTGTCTAATCACTCACAATGTGGTTTTGGTTTCTTTTTTGGTGACGGTTTCATGATGTAAATAATATATTTATTTTGTAAATATATAAACCAAAGGATCGTTCCGATCAGATATAGTAACTTTAAAGAAACTATTGTATATAACAAGGTTTGGTGTATTTATTTTATTTCATATATGACTGTTCCCTGGTTCTATTTTTTGTTGTATTTTGTTTTTTCCCCCGCGACCATATAATTCTAAATATACACGTGTATTGGTTGAATTATTATAATAGTAGCATTTATTTTTAAGAGAAAACTAGCTGATTTATATTCTGAAAAGGAATATTTAATGAAAAGGGAAGTCTTAAAAACAAAATCTTCAGTCATTTAAATTTTTTATTGCTTTTGGCATTACGCTAGAGGCCGAGGTCCCTCAACCTGACGCAGTTACCCAGATTGGAAGCCCTATTCCGCCATTTTGATAACACCATGAGAAAGACATATGACATACTCATGGTATCTCCGAGAGCCGAGAAGGTTTTAGTTGCAATTTATTTTTTCATTTGTTTGTCTGAGTGTCCACTTTTACGCTTAATTCATCGTTTGCATATTTTCAGCATTATTTTAAGTTAAAAAACGGACCTTGATGAGAATCGTAAGCGCAGGACTTTTGGTAAATTTTATATGTATTTAAAACATGAATAAAAAAATATATATACAAAAACACTTCTTTTTGTAATTTTACTTAATATGGTTTTAATTTGTGAATATATTTATTTATTACTTATAGAATTTAAATTAGAGATTTTTGGAGAAAAACTACCTGTTGAGAATTATAAATTTTAACAGGATAAAGCTTCTTTACGATTCTTAATGAGGAGATATTGTCATTATTTTATGATATACGCGTCATCTGATTTTCTTCAGTTATCATTGCTTGAGTATATTTTTAGTTAATTCTCCTAATTGTATGTGCTACTTTGCTCAAATTGTCACTATTAAGAGCCAACCCTCTTATTCATAAAAATTGAATCCTGCAAGTACTACATCGTTCTTGTTGCACTCAAGATTCACGTACATCTATGAATGTATGCAGATCCTTGAGGATGATACAACATGGCTGCTGTTTTCTGTACAACATCAATCTATCTGAGTGCAGTCTACTTCTAATATTTATTTCCCCAAATTATTCCAATTTACAGAGAATAAACCCAGTTGAGAAATTCAAATTTGGGAGGGAGATCCTGTGCTATTTATCCGAAGAATGTTTAAAGTTTGCAATTACAAGAGACATTCAAAACTGTGCTCTCCTGAGTTTTGAAACCGCTAAGAATTGTTAGTTTTGTCTTTTAAATAAAAAAATACTGCAATAGGCTTATTTTAACTGTGATGTTTTTAAGAATAAGGGGCTTAGCTTGTATTTTTTTTATTTTTACATGCACGCATTTGTGTCTCATTCAATCATGTCGATGAATTCAAATAATTTAGTTTACTGTCATCCATATCTATCTTCCAGCCCTTCGATAGATCGCCTGTCCCATTTCGACGGATATAAATTACAACAGTTTCGGTTCACCTCAAAACTTCAGGAGGTTCGAATCCCTAGTGTTACACTCAGACTGATCCAATAATCAGTCTGAGGAGCCCGATAGAATAGAATGATCCCATCATTAAAGAATTTAATGTTACTTTTGTTTTGAGATACCCATATGAAATAGGCAATAAAAAACAAATAAATTTAATTAGTCCCTTGACAGTAATATTTCTATGACGTTTTTTTGGTCAATTTTATTTCTGTAGCGAGGCACTACTGAATGCTTTCTCATTACATTCTCGGGGATAGGGTACACAATCTATGATTTTAGTTCGAAAAGTATAGCATATGATGCATGTAGGCTGTGGACACGACTTCATAACGAGTGGACTGTCTCTATGTTTCACGTTCTTTGTAGTATACAACTGGTGCATGAAGCTTTGGGCACATTAATCAACACCAAATATCATTCATTTCCAATAATATTTTTTTATCAATCTTCAATATTTATTATAATCGTGATATGTAAAGTACCTACATCATATAATTTCATCACTAATTACATTTTTACTTTAATATTAATTTGTTATGTTACTGTTTTGTGTACTGGTTTTTTTTTATCTGAGTCTGCATCATACTCAGATTTATTATTTAAGAAGTTATTAGATTATTGACTATATAGGGTCATAGATAAACTAATTTATCAATTTAGGAAACTTGATGCACTTTTAATAATTTCTTGTATACTAATAATATATTGCTATGAATTTTTGCATCTATCCTATTTTATTCACGAAATGATATATATGACCCTATATATAAGAGTATATATTCATACTAATAATGAACCTTTTGTTCACTGTAAATAAAGTATATTTTCGTTTTCATGCACTTTATGCTTATAATAATAAAAGTGTTATTAATGTAAAAATAAATACAATTGAATGTTTAGAATGATTAGTGATTTGTCTTAAAGTATAACATATCAACTCTGCTTTGTGAATGTATAAGATTTACGTATTGTGCAAGCACATAATATTTTTCAATTTTCGATTAAAATATAATTTCATATTTTAGTAGTATTTTAAATTAATAACACTTTTTTATTATTGAATGTTTAAACCTTAATACGTAAGTAAATCTGTAGTAATTACGATTTTGGTGTACTAGGATAACGCTTCTGTAGATATTTTGAATTTTTTTTTCATATATACGGTATTATTTTACCGAGGATATTATGTTAAGAAGGACTGAACATTTACTAAGCAAGAAGTAAGAAATCTCATCTCCATACATATTTATATTCGATGTATATTGTCAGCCAAAGAGTCTGTAATGGCATGTCCATTACATTAATGGCATTTTGTTTCAATTTCAGAAGCGATATCCATATCCCAGTATGTATTATTAAAGTTTTTGAATTGCCTGCTCGTTTTATTTGTGGCGTGCTTATGTTTTGTTGTTTTCTCATGGCACCAGGTAACTATTTTGTCCAATACCCGAACGGGTGATGGTAGAACTCGGCACCATACGGACGACTCGTCGCTCGGCAGTTTTAAGTACGAGGTTCGATATTTTGTTTTTTTCTGTTTTTTATGGTCCGTACTTATATATATGTATTATAACTCTTTATTTCACTTACACGTTTAAATGATACAGAGATTATAAAATTTGAGAGTGAGATGGACTAATTTCAAATTGAGATATCTTGTCCTCCTTTTAATACCAGTAATAATAAAAGGTGACCGTTGTGTATATATATACATTTAGATTATATAACTTGCCTATATGCTAGTTTAAAACATAAGCCTGATATAGGCCTGATGCCCTAGGTACTCTAGCAGTTTAGTATACCTATTACATGGTTGCGGGTTTGATACCTTACAGTATGCAAACATTTGTATTTACGAGTATAATTGTTTGATTTGGTCGGGGTGTTTGTTATTGTAAATACATACATAATATATGTACATGTATTTACAAAAATAAATGATTTTAAGTATTTTTATCTGTTGCCTAGTACCTATGACACAAGCTCTACTCATCTAGATGGCGCTCTGTGAATTGTACAGGGTTATTATATATTTAAATTAAATTAAATTCCGGGCTGCGGTGATGATGATGCAATAAAATAATCATCATCATCATCGCAGCCCTCAAGACGTCCACTGCTGGACATAGGCCTCCCTCAAAGATCTCCAATAACATAATAATGTCATTAAAATAATATGTATTTATTCTGATGTATAATATATTACATGTGTTTTGTTTTTGTGAAAGTGAGGGGGAGCTGTATGTGTTTGTTGGTGAAAATACAGCTATTGGAGTAGGTTATGTGAAACGCTATTCAGCCTTTTATTATAATGTTTTTTTACCTTGACCATAGAACTATTATTGCATATTTTTTTGTCACCATCATAGTAAATGCAAGACGTTACAAACATCAGCCATTGTAATATAATAGTTTATATGGCATTATTTGCTATTATATTATATATATAATAAATAAAAAGTATAAGTAAATATAATATGTACAAATATTAAAAATAATTTTCAGGCATAGTATATTATCTAATAATTTCGTTTTCTAAAATTAGTGATCTTTTGTTTATACGAATTCATGAATATTTGTTTGTAATTTAAAAAGGATATACACAAAAAATGTAGTTCAGTCAAAAATAATACTTTTCAATCCTGTATAAATGATTTACTTTAAAGGGCTCTCATTTTCCAGGATCAGGAGTCGACGGAGCACGATGGTGACATTGAGGACATATCGGACGGTGAGAGAACCTCATCTTCTGAACGTGGTAACCGACCTACTTATTATCCGGGAAACAATGAGGCCAACACCCCAAGGTCTGTTTATTAACTTTATTTGCTCAGAATGCCCTAAAAGTATTTATTTATTTACTGCTTTTCTGTTTTGCTATAACAAGGCAAGTTTTAATAGTACTTGTTAATTGTCAACCATTGATGTCTGAAATAGTCATTGTTATATCTTCTTATATAAAATATTATATAAAGAAAAAGGATAACTACTTATTTTATCGGCATGTTTCACTGACTCGCGTCTTTCTCGGTTTTTATTTATTGACTAGAAACGGTTTTGATATCAAGCAAATCCATGTTCACAGGTTTTGAGGTCTGTAACTTGAGTATATTATGTTGAAAAACATGAATATTTATTTATGAGGCCCTCGGTGGTCTAGCGGTTTAGTACATCCGATTCCAATGGTCCCGGATTCGATTCCTCGCACGGTACAAATATTGGTATTATATGTAGGAATGAGTTTATATCAGATATACCCATAACACAGGCTCTGCTTAGCTTGGTATATGGTGCTGTGTGAAATGTCATGAGATATTTTTTTTAGTGAGTTTATGGTGAACGCAATGGATGCCGAAGAGTTGCGGCAATCAGTGCGTCGCTCTAAGAGGTGGAAAGGGGAGTCGCCTAGACTAGAGTTACCACCAAGTGGGACCTCGCTCAGTGGTTCGGGGCACGACTCGGATGACGATGAGGTAAGTATTTTTTTTATCGAGCTGGACGATTTTGTATAAAGCCATCTGCGTCATCTTTGCCTCATCTATTTTAATGGCAATGCGTGTCTGGGTACAACTTTTACGAGTTACTTGACGGCCATGGTCCATTTCATGTATACATGCTTATTATGGATGGTAGCGAATTACTATGGCCACTTACCAGCTATATAAAATTGGATATTTTAGCCCAGAAAATAAGTATGGCTATTCAGAGATTATAACGGATATATATTATAGACATCATAATTATTATTACAGGTTTCAACTCCATCTGGTGACAACACAGAAAGGAATCCCTTATCGGGTTCATGCGAGTCGATCGACACCGCTGGTCGTCGAGAGAAGTATATCAAATCGGCGTTCGACAGTTTGAGTGGCGCCGATTTGGAGACTTCACTAACTGGAGGTGGGTAGACGATTCTAAACAATACTCTTTTATTATAAAGCACATTTTTGATTGTCATAGTAATTTTTCATAATCGTTTTCAAATGCAGTGCATCTAACTTTTCGATGAATAAGTCAATTATGTTCAGTACTCATAATACAATTTTACCTAAAGGCAACACATCTCTATCATCACAACACTTGTCGCGAGCTCCGGTTCCAGCAGCTAGACCTTCGGCTCCAGCACCAGCACCGAGGACCCCGGGCAAACACGTGGATCCTGAAGCGGCACGGAAACGAGAGGAACTCACCAGGCGAATACTGGAGACACGGCGGCAGCTTGAAAGCGTGAGTATATACCTACTACATACAAAGAACATTGGTTATTGTTACTGACAGCGTGTCTACCGTACTTTTATTTTAAATAATTGTATTATTTTAATCCATAGGTTTTTTATATGTCACTTTTGAGAGCTCTCTTAGGAAATATACACGTTAATTATTCCTGCTTTTTACTGAATATTTGTGTAGTCATTTCGCTCCAGTCACATTAGTTATATACTATTATCCCATATAGGGTTAGTTAAGACACATTGTTAACTTTCGACTTGTTAATGAATAGAACACTTAATATTCCCATATCGCTAGGCATATTTTATTTCAACGGGGCACAGTCCGATTTTACCGACGTCTCACGAATTAATTTGGTTTATTATTGCTGTCTTAGGAGGGTTAGATGTAGATTTAGGACCAGAAGGTCGTATGTTCACGTTTGACTATTGCGTCCGTAGGAATTTACAGTTTAAATCGATGTAATTACTCCTATCCACTAAGCCACGACGCTTAAGTTGATTTAGTTTTTATATGGAATGGCACAAAATAGAATAAAATGGCGTTTATTTGATAATTTCAGTCATTTAATACTAAATAATTTTTCCCTTTACCAGGTTGCATTCCGATCAAACTTGAAAAGTAGCCAGTCTACGACAGATCTGTCTTACGTACCAGAAAAAGATGGCTCTCGGCGGGCCCGACCCATCTCTATGGCTGTTCCGTCCAATACGAGGCAATATGGTGAGCACTACGATATAATGGCGTGTTATGAATAATTATTAACTCAAACAATTTATTACTGTAATGTAATTACAACAGAGTTCTTATTTCTATTGGAAAGAGATTTTATAAATAATTTAATTAAGTACTATTTGAATCCCAACAGATTTATGTACGCAAGTTCATCGAAATTACTTGAAATCATTCAATGTCATAAGATAAAGATTGAGCCATTAAGCCGTAGGAATATAATGTCTGTAGATTTTATTGATAAATATTTTTTAGTAATTTATTAAACTACAAATTTTTTTTTTTAATTTCTTATTCATACCATATAATGGTAAAAATTACTAGTGATATTATTACAGTAATAAATTACAGGATGATTTTAAATTATTGCTAAAGTTTGAGTGTGACACATCATAAACATTCGCTATTACATATTATAGTCTGACAAGAAATATTTTAAATTAATCTTTGAATAATACACATTGGTCAAAATATTAATAAGTATATATATTTCTTGTTAGATGTGATAACATATATATACTACTAACATTTAAAATTTCCCCCATCACGCTAACCAGGACCCCCTGACCCCTGTCCAGAGGAAACCCTGGACAGTCTAAACTCAAATTATTTCGATAGCCTAAATCCATGCCCTAATATGAATATTGATTATCGAAACAAGAATCCTTACGCCATTCCTGCGAACTTAAACAAAATAATACCTGAATATAGAGAAAATGTAGCGCCTTATATACCGCCACATGCAAATATACCTAAAACTCAAAATGATAGACGTACTATGAATTTTACACCGTATGGAACAAAGCCTATTGTATTTAGAGAACAACTGCCTCAGAAACAAGCTTTGGCATTTACTATAGATATAGGTAAAAAACCAGTTCAATCAAAAGTGTTCAATAGATTATTTACAAATCAGGATGATAAAACAAGTCCAAAAGTGCCACCTAGAAACTTCCATTTAAATTTAAAACCCGATGATAAACCTCAAACGAAACCTAAACCTAATGCTAGAAGCATTTTTAAGAATTACAAATCGTGCCCAGTTTCACCGGTCTCGGAAGAATGTAAATGGACTGATAAAGTTGCACAAAGTCAGAACTATAATCAGAATGAACAAAGATCACAAACAAATTCTTTAGATCCTAAAAAGAGAAATTCTTTAAGTTTCTTTATAGGATTTGATAGCAAACATTTGAAAGATAACGGAAAAAGTATTGTGGACACTATAAAAACAGATACAGAGAAGATGATAGCAGAAATAACTAAAAAATATGGTGATTTAGATGATTATGGACCAAATGCGGAGAGTGATTTAGATATACACCCGACTAAAGAAGTAGAAGAAAAAGATGATGGTAATTTTTCTTCTGATTCCTTAGAAGATTGTAGTTTAAGCCAAGATGCAAGTTGTAAAAATAAGCTTTATTCTAAAAAAGTTTGTAGAAAACATAATAAATTACAAGCTCCCAGACGTGCTATTTCTAATTACGAGATATATGGCAGTGATAAGCCCGCGGTACCAGTCAAACCACAGTACATTGGTCAGAAAAGTTCTACATTACCTCGAAATATGCCTTCAAATCTTGATGATATTATGGACGAAGATTCAATTAATTATAATTACTCTAATATATATAGATGCCAAAGTGTGTTAACTAAAAGATGTGTGACACGTTCTAATGAATCTGTTCTTAGTGATAACTCAAACTGTTCTAGCGTTTCTAATGAAATATTTTTAAAGTATGGGAATGAAGTGGCTTTCCAGCAAGCTAAATTTGATAGTAGTAGATATAATTTGAACGATTCCCAAAATTGCTCATTTGAAAATATAAATGAACCCGATGGACAGTATTTGGAAAAGCATAGACACAGTAGTGCAAGCTTCTTTTTGAATCAGAAAAAATATATAAAGTCTAGTTGTAGCCAAGAATCCGTGTTATCAGATGAGATGTTTTTGGACAATGATAATCAGCTATCAAGGACGAACTGCAATTCCTTGGAAAGCGTTTTATCAGATGATTCGGAATGTACGAAGAGTGCTCCTTTAGAAATGTTATTCGAAGGCACTAGGCCTAAACGTCAGCAAAGAAATGAAGGTATAGGGATTCCAAGAAACAGTAAAAGTTGCTACGAATTCGATAACACATCGAAAAGTTATGGATCAAGTCCTAACAATGTTCCATACTTTGGTGGATACATGTTTAATAATTATATGGAAGGTACGAGCCCTAATTATAAAGATACCACTCCAGTGAGTATTAGCTCGAAAGATCCTGCTAGTAAAGTTTATGGATTTGAAGTTCCAACTTCAGAACTTTTAGGTCATAAGACAGTGACTAGGTCGAAAAGTCTCTATGATTCTGCATCAAAGGAGCCTCCACCAGCGAAGAATATTGCGTATTATTTCGATGGAAATAGTGTACAGCAGTATACGAAAGAGAAAAAAAAGTTAGATGAAATACCTAGACTGAATACTACTGACTACAGGGCTAATACTAGCAAGTCTCTACAGCCTCAATTTGTAGATAAACATAAATATGTTAGTCAAATGGAAGGCTGTGACCGGCATACTATGATTAAGTCTAAGAGTTGTAGTTTCGAAGTTGTGCTCGAACCGGCTTCAAAACCGAACCCACTTAAAACTTTAATGGAAAAACGGAATTCACATGTCCAGAAAAATCTTGAAAAATTCGAAGAACAAATACGCAGAAACGCTCAAACAAAAGTCAGTAAAAATCAAATGAATAAGGATAAAGCTAACGGTACTAAATATAATAATGTTACTAAGAGCCTTGAGAGGGGGTCACAGAAAAACAACAACGTTAAAATTACAATGGAGTTCGTTCCACACAAACCTCCTAAACCTATCAAAAGAACATCCTCTGTAAAAATAAATAATAGGCTCAAAGCAGGGTTAGATAAAGCCAACCTTAGTTCTTCCATATCATCCCAATATAAAGCAAAGCTAGATGGTTTGCAAAATAAAAATTATTTAGCTAATAAAAAAGAAGAAGACAAGAATTCCAATAAAATTGATACTTCTGATAGTTCCGAAAAGACTTTTGACATTTTTGTTAAAGAAAAAGATGTAAATGAAAACAAATCTGAAATACAAATGGATAGCTTAGAAGTTTATGCGTTGCAAAGAATAGAAAGAATGAAACAGGTTAGCATGGATTCTTTAGATGTTCTGGAAGACAACAATGATTATGCCAAAGATTCATTAGATTATTACGCCGAACAAGATAATAAATTTTATGGAAAATGTATTAAAGATCAAATTAATATGAAAATTTCACACGATAGAGATTTACCTCAACCATGTCATAGTCGACAAAATGATACTAAAGAGAATATAGTTCCAACTGAAATTAGTGATGAGATAAAAAAATATAAATACATCGAACGTAAAATAGAAATTATAAATAAGTTAGTAGAAATGGAAGAGAGGAAAATACTACAAGAGAAAATATTAAAGGAATGGCGTATGAAACCTTTAAAAGCTAATATAAATGTTGGCAAAGGTGTAGTCAAGGTATTATCTAGGAAATTTGAAAAATTAGCAACTAAACAGACTACAGTACCAAATTTTACGTCATTGACTTTGGAAGAAGCGGATGCAGATACAAAAGTAAATTCTGAAAATAAAGAAATTAAACGTAACCTAAGCTTGCCTGATATATTGGATTCCGAACAAATCGGTAGCCTGGTAACAGTACTGGACGAAAGTGACATTGTAACTAAAAATTTTGGTAACGAAGGTGTTGGTTGTAGTGAAACGGAAATTAAACTAAATAATACTGTGAAAACAGATTTAAATGTTCCAAAAAATTTGAAACAAAGAGTATACAACGAAATGGTAATACCAAAAACTGACGTTCATTTAGATAGTGAAAATTACGAGTCGTCCACTACAAGTTCCAGTTGTACTAATTCACCAAAACGACTTTCTTTTTATGGGTTCAACCGTCCAAAAACACCTTTTAGGAAGGTTATAAGGGTGCCTACTCCGAGATTGTGTATGGAAAACAAAATATTCCCATCAACGAGTAAAATTCGTCCAATAATTTGTTCGGGGAATGTCGTGAGAGGTTCTTGTTTAGCTAAGAGGGTGCCATTCCAAACTCCGGTCCTTCCATCGAAGTTTTCGCCAGCGCAAGGTTCGGAAGCATGTTTGGCAAATATATATAAAAAAATAGATGTCCCTTTGTTTTGCGCTTTTTAGACATCGTTATGTATTTTATTATTCCAAATTCGACGTTATCTTTAGCAAATTTGTGATCTGTGTGAAGAAGCCAAACATTTAAATCGGCGATGATTATTATTAAATATTTATTATCTATATTCATCTAGCTTTATTTTGGCTGATCTTCACAAATCATCACAAATCATAGCTTGTCACTTTATTTTATTTTTATAGCATGTTATATTATTATACAATCATGTGTGCACGTGTGAAGTGACATAGTGATATTTTTGTCTTTGCTTTTGCCGGTTCTGCATCTGAAGGAATGGTCATTTTGATATTATTCAGTGTTTCAATATTTTAGTTAATCGTTTTTTGTTTAACTTCACTTGACACTTGAAATTATGATTTTTTATTAAAATAGCTTGTCTAGTGGATTTTTTTTTTGGTTATCGATAATTAATTAGATGATTGCATTATGTATTTGGTGCTCGATAATTTTTCAGTGAAATTGAGAAAATATATATCTTAAGAAATTAGTTATTGTAACAATCAGCATCATGTATTTAAATAATGTTCCTTTATAGATGAACATCTATAAAGAAACATAAAGAGTTAGAATATAAAATGATAATTATGGCCCATCAAGTTCGCGCATAGTGTTCTTGCGGGGTGAAGACGCGTACGTCTGTCACTTTGGCGATTCGTCAATTAAACGGAATACGGAACTCTCTTTCTAACCCCCGCCTGCATATTCACTGAGTTCATGAGAGACTCATAAATTTGACGAACAGCAGAACATAGTTCTTATTCATATGGATAAAAATTATCGAGCAGTACAAATTGACCAATTATTCAGATAGCTTGCATGTTATTTATATATGCGTATACCATCAGTCAATCGCAACCACATGTCGTCTGAGCCTGAAGAGGAGTCTGCGGGGATGAGGCGGGCTATATCGCTGTCCGACCTCGCTGCCAAACCTATGCCGGCACCGAGAATGCCACAAGGTAGGTTCTGATAGGCTGCCACTGTTTGGATTCCCTGAAGGTTTTACCTTTTGCCAAACTTACTCGGACTATTGATTGTCCCGTACTCTGTTACGATATAAAAGAAATTGTAACTTATATACATGTAACATATATTAAATTAAAATACTTTCTTAGATATTAATAATTTTATACACAAGTCAATATATAAAAATATTAAAGTATTCTGAATAAAGTTTTCAGTTTTACCAAATAAATAAGGCATTAATAATACAATTTTATGCCTACATTAAAATTATTTCAAAAACTCAAACCTAAATTACGGAAATATATTTGCATGTTACTCTTTCATTTATTTAAACTATATTTTTAAATAAATTTTTGCATATTTGGGCTTATTGTGCAAGCTTTATGTGTTTTATTGTGATATATTTAAAATTATTCTCATATCTGACAGACAATTAGTTTTTAGAGAGCAGTAGATGAGCTGGCAAATTGGACGTTTATAAAATTATTTAGGGCAACGATATTAATGTGACAAATAAGAAGGTGACTTATCGCTTTTTTGTATTATTTTTGTTTAACTTAATTCATCTGTGTAAAAATCTGTAGCGGCATGTTGAATTTATTTTAAATAAATTTTCAATTATTTATTAGAAAATGTATTGTCATGGAAATTATTTACATTAAATTGGTAATCACGAATAAAAAAATATTGCTTTTTCAATTCGTATTGAAAAATAAATATATTTTAATTTATAACCAATTATTATTAATTGATATTATAGATTTGCTAAAAATTATTATATTGTATTCCACATGTAATTAAATAAAATAACAAATTTATTAAAAACGAGCAAATACGGTATCTACAGTTATCAGACTTTGTCATGACATTATTCTTTATTAATTATTTTTTTATTATGAATGATGGACAGTATCTTGTTAGTTTGTCATGAATAATTTTATTACACAAATAAATATATGTTCATAACACCTTTGAGAATTAGAGCCTTTTATTTAATAATAATTATCTTTAATGTGGTGAAGCGTTTACTGTCTTATTTCTATGAAAAAGAAATAGTGTGTTCTTAGATTTTGTTTAGTTGTTGCAGTAATAACTATATAAATATAGACAATTTCTACTAATACTAAAAGTACTAGATATTTCAATACTTAATTTTTCAATCTGCAATCTTAATATTATAGGCACATCGAAACCGGCCCAACCAGCACCTGTGACTAAATCCCCCAGCGGGTTCGTCCGTCCGTCACCTCGCTATAATAATAAATCCAACATGACCCGGAGTTCGAGTGTTGGTGTTTTAAATAATCAGGTATTTGGTGTTTTAAATAATAATAAAATTATTCTAGATTTTAGAATCTTGTTAAATGATATTATTATGACAAAGCATGTGTCTTTGTCATAATAATATTATTATATTTTGCCCTATCTGCGCTATTTTTCAAGCCATTACTTCAATATATTACTTAAATATATCTTGTTGTAATCCATGGGAGTTTATATTAAGTATTATATATCAAATTATGGTTATTTGCGAAAGTCCATTAAGTAAGGGCTGTTGTCCTATTTTTTTTTAATAAATATATTAATATTTACACTTTGCTTATACTGTGATGAACAATTGTACATAAGAGGAAACTAATGGTGTGAACATTCTATATTAATAAACATTTGAGGATAACAGAGGTACATATATTTTTAAAAGAAGTAGTATCTATATTTTTTTCATTATAGAGCGATTCTGAATCCGATCCACAACCGTCGCGCCCGCAGCCGAATCGGTCTCAGGGGCTAATGCGACCGACCATCAGTTCCATGAACAAAGTAGCTGCGAATACAGCCCGGAGACGAGGACTGGCCAACGCATATAGTGCAGGTTCGATTATCAAATCCTTAGAAAACTTAACTTTCTTAAAGATTAATACTAATGAAGGTAAAGGAATAGAATAGAGTAATTTTTATTCATATAGATTTATTAAATGCACATTTGAAACATGCTCTCTAATATACTCAATGAGTTAAATTAATGTATTTAAATCAAATCAAAAGTCATTTATTCAAGTAGGACATTTTAGCTGTTAATGAACGTCATGTTTAGTCTACTAATTCTTATTTTCTACCGTTCAGTTCAGTATACAGAACTGCAAAACACATCTTACGTTCTTCGATTTGAATTCAATATTCATACTAAATCGATTAAATTGATTTAGTATGTATGAATATTGTTATATCAGTTTATAATATTATTATTAAATTCTTTTAGTTTTTCCATTTCGTCAGATATGGAGTATATCAATCACATTACAACGAATTATAGATACCGTTCGATCATAAGTTTTTTTCCAACTAGAGATGTGTTACATTATATATTGTATACACATTAGTCGTGGTACTGCATATATATTATGTAATATATATGCTATACGTATAGTGGTAAAAATAGCATGGAATAAATTTCGTAAAAAATGAAAATTAGGTGCAATTTCATGCCATCCAACTATCGTAAATAAAATTCGTAGTTTGTATTTAAACTAATAAATTATTTATGGTTTAATGTAGTATATTTCGTGCTCTCCAATACTCGCAAATAAGTTTCATAATTTGTATTAATCCTAATATAATAATTTAATCTTAATATGAGATGTAGTAACTTACTAGTCAACTAGAAGTATTATTTAGTAATATAATCCACAATAGAAAGTAGTAATAGTAGGTAGTTACTATGTCCACATCGTCTAATAAGACCGCACATAATGAACTAACATGCACGTCACAGTGAGTCTCTCGACTGGGGGGCAGGAGGAATCCAGCTCAGAGGCTGAGGAGAGGCCAACGGAGAAACCTGCAGTCCCACCTCGCCCGAGAGCAGGCTCAGTCGATCAGCGGCGTATTGGTAAGTTTCTATTTAAAGTTTCATTTAAATTACGACACAAACCAAACTATTGATTCAATTATGATGAGTTCCTAAAAAATGGAGATAGATTTGTTGTTATTTATCTAAAAGGTAAGAAAAATTACAATTATTTTTAATTTATTGTTTGGGTAAAAAATTTAAAAGATTCTTTTGTTAATCATTTATGAAGCAATGGAAATATAATAGTGATAATAAATAGATATAGCAGACGTAGAAGCGAGCATGAGTTTGTATAAATATAATTAAATTGATTTATTTTATTTGACAGGGCGTAGCGGCAGTGAACGAGATCTGTCAGCGAAGGCGCGTGAAGTGACCGCGCGGCTGACGGCCAACACGAGGCAGCGAACTAAACAGGAGGTCGCTCAGGAGGCTAATAGTGAGTTTTTTAATCTCGCCACTAAATGTATTAATATTAAGTTTATGATGCCTAAAAACTATTTTATTCGTGACAAAGTAATTGTGAAACCAATATGCCCTTAATCAATTATTGAAAAGCGTGCATTTAGGGTAATTTATTACGCTCCTGGCGGCTTAGTAGAATCTGTAAATCGTAAACTCCTTTCCTTACTCCTTTTGTGTTTTTTTTGCAAAATTTTCAAATACTACGAAATTTTTATAAGTGATTACATTTCTAGCAAATTAATGCCACATTTTTGGTTAATCGTTGTAGTGACGTCATCACAGCTGTGCTCCGCGTTGACTGAACAACTGACGAAAACCGCATGCAAAGTAGTCCAGCTGTACACGAGTCTGCAGAGGGAGCCCAACTCAGCTGCTGACATCAGCGGTAAATATTGTTTTTTTTAGTTTTTTAAGTTTAGATTTATCTCGGGTATTAGTGTAATCTGTTTTATTTTTAAGACAATAATGACTTAATACAACTCAAAACTTGCTAGAGTCAAATAAAAATAAATTAAAAAACACCTTATCATTATACTACCAGTGTATTAAATAATTGGATCAACAGGATGTGCCGTGTGCTTGTTTGACACCATCATAGTATAAAAAACATGTTTTATTTATATATTAATAGATATATGCATTTATCTGTTGAGGAATATTGCAGTAAACCAGGATATATAATAATTAGCATATATGCCACGAGATATATATAGTAAAAGTATTATTAATAAGTAATTACTATAAACAGGTCTCGAAGCGGCTATAGTAGAAACTCAAAAGGTCCTCCGTAGCGTTGTGACGCGAAATGCACAAAATGGAGGCGAAGCCCTAAACAGCCTCTCGTCCAACGACGGCGATTACAAAGGTTTAAACGTGGATTCCACCCGACAGAAGTTGGAGCATCTCGTCTCGAAAGGTAATTTGTGGTAGTTTCCACCACAATTGCCACTGAGCCGCCGAGTAAGGTAGATTCGAGTTTATATGAGAATATCGTGACGTTTTGTGGCGTGCTAACGGTGGTGGTAAAGTTGTCACGGGTTTATTTGTAATCTAGTTATAACTAAATTATTGGTAAAAAAAATCACTACCTTAACATTTATTCATATTCTCATCCTGATTAGATTAATCTAAAAGGGTTTTTTAATCAATTTAATTGTTTCATAAATTCATTCACTAATTAACATAAGTCTCCAAATCAAATCAAAATGTCCACATTGATTGCAATTACAGTCAATTAGGTGATGGTATTTGTTGTGATTGTCTGTATATGTTAATTTTATAATAAACTTAATTTGTATTGAGAATTCAAACAAGTTGACGCTTTATTTGTTCATGTAACTATATAATAGTATAGTTACATATTTTTGTAACTATCTAAGAGAGTTTAATTTTCTCAATTGTAATTGTAAACAAGGAACTTGAGTTTTAGAAATAATGCAAAGTTTAAATAATACTACTTTATGTATCAGTGTTAGAATATTATCGACTGTAATTATGATAAAAACTGTACAAATTGGTTTACAGAAGCAGGCAACGGTGGGAACACTACAGCGCTATCGTTTTTCGAGCAATACTCCGATATTTTATTAAATATGATGCAAACGAAAATGGTGAATCAGTTCCCACAAAGTCCGCAGAGTTTACCGCCAAATACATCAAGAGAACCCGGGGCGGAGAGCTAGTATAAGCCTAACATGTGATAAAGACTTTTTAAAACAATTAATTTTACGGTTCGTGTTCTTCGAGTTTTGTGATTTCAGTATTTGAATTTAGAATGAATGTGACGTTTAGTGTATAATAATTCTGTCTATGGCTTGTTTTTGACATTTGATTGTAAGAAATAACAATTATCTAATTAGAATAATATTAATAATGTGTCATAATCATCGCTTTCATAGATACATTATTTTGTCATCTAAAACGTACTGCTTACATTTTACCGCAATATATTGTTAGAAACAGCACAAACATATAGCACAAACAGATTCTGTGAATTAAGAATATCACACAATACAGTCCCTTTTTCCCAAGGTATGAAAGTACAGGTTTAAGTGGTAACAGAATATAGTGCAGATTTTGTGTAAAACATTGCCTTTTTTAAAGAAATGAAAAATATTTTTCTATCAATCAAATGTCATAGATGTCGTAAATAAGTCGGGATTAACACAACAGATGGGTATGGTACATACTCATCTTGTTGACTCCACGCAATCTGGGAGGGACACTGTAAAACTCTGATTTTATTCGCACGATAAAATTATATGTTTTACTGCAGGATATTGAGTAAGTATGTCAAGGAATAAACGATTTGAAATGGTTCCCAAAGTTGACAGCAACCCACCTAATAAAAACATGCACACTTGGGACTCTAGCCTGTCCTAAAGCATTACGGGCATAAACTATTAGGAAAGCTCAGCTTGCTTACTGGTTTCGAGGCATGCTCAATATTTGAGACCGTAATTTTGGATGTACTTGTCTAGTTTTACTATAAAAAAAATGTCATCAATAATTGACGAAATGGAACAGACTGTAATGCTATCACTCTCTAGCAAATAATAGAGATGTAGCTACTTCTCTTCTTTGCACATTTATTACTCCAGTTTGGTGTTGCTAATTCATATACCACGCTGTTATGGTCAAATTATACAAGTTCTTTGCAATTGGGTTTAGCATTATATTATTATATGTTCGAATTTGTATTATTTGTCTGTTTTGTTATATATCTAAAAGTATGTTACAGTATTAACATTCCAAACTATTAGCTCTAAGCTATTGTTTGTAAATATAAAAGTCTTAATTTTTTTGCAAATAATATGAGCGATAAAAACGCTGTTTGGTTATATTGTTTGTCTTCCAAAGATTGTTGACAGATCCAGTGCAATGACGTAAATATTTCAAATATATGTCAATTTTAACTTAAAAATATGTAACGATATCTATATTTAAAAATAACAATTAAAATTTTCTTAAAATAACGATTTGAAACCAGAATATTTGTGGTTACAAATTATATTGAAATTATTACCTATAAAATAAAATTATGATAAGACTATGGTAAAAAACGTCCATTCCAAAGAAAACATAATACATTGAAATTTAATTCATTCATAATTCTTATATCCTTGACTTTTATATATCTTTGACTTAAGATTTTAGACTCTATTAACGAATTTAATCAGAGTTAATAAGTCTATAAACATGATTAATCGATATGTTTAAAAAATCATGTTATTACCGCCATACAAATTATTGCATTTAGATTCATTCCAATATTTTATTAGTAAATTTTATGTATCGTATCTATGTATTGAAAAGTATTAGACTATAATGTGATTGCCACAAAATTGTTAAAGTCTGGTCTTAACATGGATATTAATTTGAATCGATGAAAAAATTATACGTTAAGTAAACACTAGTACTTTGTCATAGTGACATATTGGAAACACAAAATATTTTTACTTATTATAAATTGTTATTGTGTCAAGGAAAATAATCTTTATGTATATTTTAGTCATTATATTATTGAAATAAGTGACGAATAAATGTTGATCAGCATTGAAACGTTTAAGCTCCTATACACATGGATTAGAACGAGTCATCACCGCCTTGGTTGTCAACTTTTTTCACGTGATACCTAATGGTTCAACTCATCTCTCTTGTTTAATTTTAATTATAAAAATTTATAAAACCTAAGTAAAGGTTTTATAAATTTTTAACTTCGTTATCTGTTCAAATTAATATCTATATTACAAATCTAATTATAGTATAGATCTGGTGCGTTGGCTTCAGGGTTACAGAGTGAACAGAATGAGTTGATTAACTATTGAACAGTACTTGTAAATGAGTACTACCATCAATATATTATATAAAATATTAGCCTGTACATGTCTTTATATTTGACATAAATATATATTTCCAATTTGTGTGGTTAAAAAAACGAAAACTCTGAAACCAGCGCAGTTTTAATTAATTAAACAATTTTTAAATGGACACGGGTATTGTAGCTAATTGGTTTATATAATTAAATATTATTTTATGTAAATTGAATTAATGGATATGCCACACCAAATTTGCATGCTATGGAAAAACTGGTCTAAGACAATCAGGAATAAATCACTATAAGAATCTAGATGAAGCTCATACATGAATTAACACTGCAATTTTGAAAAACTGTTGTCTCGTATTTTTGGAAAAATCTATTCTGCTGTGTAGTCAATAAGGTTAACATTTTTAGGATTATAAAATGTTTTATTTTAATGTACCGGACTGTAATATTTTAAAACAATGTTTTAAATTAATTCAGTCCGTATAAAACACAGACACTTGCAACCAAACATAGATTTAAACCATAGATTTCGCAAGCATATAACATATTTGCGTGTCATATTTTTCTACTTACTGTGGCTCTTAGCAAGGGCTACTTGTAGATATCAATACAGCCTTTCGAATCTATTCTTTAATACCATTCCTTTCAATCATTTAAATTTTTTCAAATGAATATCATGTAGCTGATTTTCTGTTGAAATTTTGCCTAGGTTGAAGTATACAGTATTTATGTGGTGGGAGTAAAAAATTGGCATGCAGAAGAGATACAGCTGCGAAATTTATTTAAACTCTAGTTATGTTCTTATAACAGACTAAAATTGTAAGTTGTAATAACACTACCTCATATTCGAATTTCTACCAAAGTTACTTTAATGATGCAGTTACATTAGTCGAGGTCTTCATATTTTCATAGATATAATGTTCAAATTAGGAGGTTATTCTTGGCTTAATTTGTATTTTACTAATAGGTAGGAGGTGTCGCTGTAAATAAACTATTGTTCCATATTTATTCAGATTCAAGAAGTGCAAAAAGTTGCGAAGCGTGTTAACGTATACTTCGCCATGTTGGATTTTCCGAGTCGTATTTCACACTAATACTGCACGGGTGGACCAATGGAATAACAGTGGAGGTATTGAAATATCGACAAAATAGCATAATAATGCTATACCAGAAGTATATTGTTATGTATCTAATAGCAAATAGACTATGGTATGTTGATTGACCTGCGATCTGATTCGACTTTTGTAACTGCGTCATAAAGACTGCGTAACGATATATATATAAATTGATCTTTATTTAGGTCGTTTCTGCACGGTTATGTATTAAAAGTGATGAACGCTAAAATACATTAATTTCCAACGGGGACTATTAAAAGAATAAATTGTGCAGTGTTGTAAAAAAGTCGACATTAATAATGTGATTTTTAACGCTTGAAATGTATATAGTTTTGTACAAATAATCTTGCTAAAATGTATAGGAATGCTTTCCAATTGCCGTTGATATACATACGGTTAGTCATCCGGTTGATTGTATGCGACTACAGTTCCGTATCTTTGAAGAGTCGGTGGTGGTAACGAAATGCGGTAATAGAGTTGAAAGGAACGTAAATAACATCCTGTTATTTGTAATATAGAACTCAACCAATAATGAATAAGTGTCTCATGTCGCATTCTTAATTAAAGAATGTTGGTCATCGATTTTTATTTTTAAATCTTAAAATGAAACGTAAGAATTAGTGTAAATTGTTTTGGTAAACCATAATAATAAATTTCATTCTGTCAAGTTAAATGGCGGTCTGAAAATAATTGTATTAATAAGGGCATTTTATGAGCTTCGAAATTTGTAAATGCGATCCTATCGTATCTTATAGTATTGCAGTGTTTACTGTATTGTCAATATTGAGTCACTAAGTCACTTATTGTAATACATATGTGCTGTTAATATCTCGTCTCTGATAATTGGAGATTTTTAAATTAACTCAATCGATTAACGTCCGTAAGTCAATGTTATCGTAGTTCTAAGTGTTTTTATTCTGATTTGTCACAAATAAGTAGTAATGTTTAATGTATGAAAGGTTGTATGTGCGAAGTGTGAATTGATAATGTAAATAACGATAATAAACTAAGCTATTGTAATATTTTAACAATTCCTGGTTTTTTAAGCATGGCTCAGGTCTTAAGCATTTATGACTACTGATATCTATTAAGAATTTTTCTACATATAACGAGAATCTAATAATTCCCTTCATTAAACTTATTGTACTCATATTTGGCAAAATTTATGTTTCAGACAACAGAAATCTCTCTGTTGATAGCATAAATTTTTGAGATTGTCGCGAATATAGAGATAGATGCAACTTTGTTTTTATAATATTTGTGAAAATTAAATTGTTATACAGTATTGCTAACCATGTCCTAAAATAATTAAACCTGACTTTTTTGTTGTTACGTATTCTCTCATATGTAGATTGATTCCGTTTACTGATCACAAGTCGTATTCTTATTATTATATATGTTTATGTACAAAACTCTATCAATAATACATTAACTGGCTATCAAAAACCTTATCGTGTATAGAACTAATTAATTCCATGAGTCCATGACACACATAAATTTATTAATATTGCAGTTAATTCTATTATTTGTTTGAAGGACTAGCTGTCATTATTATGACGTTTAAATTATGCCATAATCATAGACAAGATGATATGTCGTCAATGCCATTGGGATATCTTACAAAAATGTTTGTCCTGTAAAATTAGTCTTTATATAAGATTAATTTTCAGAAGATATGTTGGGGCCCAACTATTCTCGTGCTGGTTTGATGGAATGGTAATGGTTTTACCTTACGAATTATTAAGGAATAAATAATAACCATCTATTTTATTTGTGATTGGTTACTTAGGGTACGACGGGGAGGGTAGGGGGAGGGGAGGATAGCTGGACATAACAGTAATAAGAAATTATTTTGTATTTGGCTGACATATCGATTTGTTTCCATTACCCATGTGGCCTGTTTCAACTCCGCGAGTTTTTGTATTACGTAGTTAATTATGTTTATGTTCAAAATTGTATTGCCATTTACGAAGACTAATATTATTAAATACGATATTATAATTGTGTAGTGCAGATAGTTTGGTTACTTTTTTAATTTTGTTTTCGATAGGTTACCTGAACTTTATCATAATAAATTAATTTATATCAAATAAGTACCGTGTATGTTATTTTAACACCAATCGTGATTTATCTAGTACTAATACAGTACTATTGTATTTTAAGGAAACTGTTATAAATATATATATCGACAAGTACGTATGTAGATATTTGTTAATCCACTTATTTAAGTATAATAACATAATGTCATAAATATTTGTTAAAACAATAGTTGTGATCAAACAGATTCTAGAATTGTGGAAAATTAAAGTGATGGCATTGACAAAAATAGCCTTGACACAGGTACGGGCAGACGTATTGTATTTTAAGTGAGTATGGATTATTTTACACACTCGTAATAACTAGTATAAAGTATTTTTTTTATGTAATTGCAATGACAAACAAGCTGACGGCCCACTTGATGGTAAGTGTTTACTGACTGTATGTATACAAACAACACTACAGATAATAAAGATATCAGGTTATCAAGTGATGCCCATGCGCGGTCATTCTGGTCGACTAAGATGTCATATCCCTTATTCTGTAATTTCACTGGTTTATATCATCTTTCAATCATACTTCTCAGAAATCAAGGTGCTTCGCAGCTCAAGTGGTCTCGAGAAGCTTTGTTATAAACTCTAACCTCTGTTTACTCATGTCTACCTATTTGCATAGACTAGGATATAGTAATCACTTATTTTAGTAAGTAAAATTTACTATGTTATCCCTTCATATAAGCATTCATGCTCACTTTATTAATAACTATCTAATTATAAGTTACAAGTGCAATAAAATGGATGTAATAATCTTGCTGAAAAAAAATTGCTGCAAGAATTTGAGTTGCATGTAGTAAAATATACTCTTATCTTGGCTCGTTATCAACAATTTCTGAGCTCTCAGTGACTATATCGTATCTGTACGAAATCTCTTTCAAGAGGCCGAGGTTCAGAAGGAAGTCGAGTAGTGGACGTCTTCTTATTATACGACTGTACGATGCAGCACGAATACCTAGAAATATATTAAAAAGAGTTTTTATTTTGTGAAATTTTGTCCCCTACCAAAAATTATTTTGTAGTATTAAAATTAACTAGAAATAAATAATTTGTTTCATGCTTTATTTAAATAAATTTACTTTTCAGCACTTTTAAATCGTTATTTTTCTATACAGCCATATTTGAAATAGGTACATATAGGTATGTAGATTGAAATACGACTAGAATAAACAAGCCGTCGGTCCACTCTATGGAAAGTATGGAAAGTGGCAATGACTAATATAGAATAATATAAAAGTATCACTATCCTAAAATATACTGTGGTAGTTGTTTTTATTGCAATGATTTATTTATAAAATTGTATTACATTTCTATTAAAGACAATTTATTGATAGTTTAAAAGGTTTGAACTCCGAAACAACTCTCTTGTTATTGAAGATCTCTAATACACTCTATAATATAGTATATTATAGAATAGTACGTAATATATGCTATTATGGTTATTTATATGTAGTTTATGTATAATAGTAATATATCTTCTGTAACGTAGTTATAAAAATACGCTACAATAATTCATTCTAATTGTGGGCTATAGATGATTTAAGTTTGAGAACTTATGATCTACATGAAAGTACTTACGAGAGGTTTTAGGCAGAGGCTTTGTCAGAAGTTGGGGTCCAAACTCGTACATCAGCTGAAAATCAGCGTGGTTGCCGAAGCGGAACCCAAAACCGGCACGTTGGTCGTTACCTATTTAATTAAACAAGAAGTAGGTACCTAAGATATATTTGGCTAATATGATGTAATGTGTAGTTACATATTGTTAGTATTAATAGTGAATAGTGTGCCTTCGATCTTGTTAATTCCTGATGAACAATGGGCTAATTGGTCGGACTTCATGCTCATGATATGATATCACACCGGTGTCACGACTGCTGTCAGTGTAGTCGAGTGCACTATTATATTAGCATTATTAAAATGATGCCAATAGTCATAGACTTAAGTTAAGTACAACCTTTCAAAGATTTTCTATTGTTATATGTGTCCTTTGCTAATAAAAAAATTAAATGTGGACTTTCACATATAATAATTAAAATTAAATAAAGTTTTTTTTTCCAGTAGGTACGCACAGATCACTATAATGAATGATAAAGTAAATAGTAATTATGAAATAAACTTTTGAGACAACTATATTATCATATAGTTGTCTCAAAAATCCAAATAATTAGGAGCATGACTTTGTATAAAGTCTGCTGGGTACTACATTTAGCCTCCAACATTTCAGCTCTCAAGGAGCTTGGTTTGGTGTATCATTTGGAGAGTGAGACACTAATGACAGTGAAATTACATCAGTCGGAGGCATATCTTAGTACTCCGGAAGTGCAAAGCGCGATAGTTGTTAGCGTCTATGTTGAAGTATAGTCTATGGTGCTATTTATATTACTACTTACAGTTACGTGGACAATAGTTCGTACGCTTTCTTTATAATATTAAATTATTTTAGAGTGGAATTAAGGCATATAAAATTAGTTTATAGCCATCTCCTACCAAATTTAAGTCGTGGGCTGAAGCCAAATATAGTTGCAAAGCCCGCCGGCACATCTTCAGGTACCACCAGGATTATACTCTCAGTCAGAAGACCTGCGAACAAATACATAAGTAATTGATGTCCATTGTGATTGATATATTAACGCAAACGGGGTTAGGTACTATTTCTACAAATTATATTAGAGGCTCTTTCTATGATAACTTTGCGTCACGTCACATTTTTTGCTATTTTAAGCCTAAATAAAGATATTATTTAGGCTTAAAATTGCAAGAATTATTCTTCCAATATTCAAACGTCTGGTAAAGATGATCTGTAATGGATTCTTTATCCTGCAGATTTCAGCAAATTCCCTACTAAACTGAAACAAATATCTAAAAAAACCGCCGCTAAGAAGCTTGTAATTATCAAAAATTGTGACTCTGATATATAGATTCTCAGTACCACTGTTTAGCTTGTTGGCTCGTTAGAGTTAATACTTACATTCGAAAATAAAAATCATCACGAATACAAATTTACGTCCCATTTTTGCCAATTTCCGAAATTATAATACTGAATACTAAACTACTCTACTGAATTCGCATATTTATTTTAATATATAATTTGTTCACAATTTCACTAACTGCATCTACACGTTTAAATGATATACTTAAGGAGTAAAGGTTGAATTGTAGCCAAAGGACGTTCTAACTATGTCGTGGATTATGAATGAATGCTGAGAACAATATGTCAATACATCAGTAATTGTAATTAGACATTGTTTTGTTAAATGATTCCCACGAGATTATTGATACGGTACAGTCAGATTTATAAATACGAATTAGGTAAGTTATACTGCGAGCAATCTTTTATATCTTTTAGAAACATGTCTAGTTCTTTTATTACTTGTTTTACATTTCTATGGTCGTAGGGTATTTTTCTAGGTTTCTCTAGGTGAGTCTAACAAAGTGGATTTTCTTAAAGATTAGTTTTCAACGAAATTAGAAGCATAGTTTTGTTTGATATAGCATCAAAATGAAATTATTAACTATTACCAAAATAAAAATAGAATGATTGAAAATAATTTACTGACTTTTTATTGCCACTGCATGTCTAAATTGATCCCGGGCGCGATCCCGGTGACTGGGATTACTGAAAGATAATCCCGGTATTATCTTTCAGTAATCTCAGTAAATCAGTAAAAATGAAAAAAGTAGTCGGGATCGTATTCTCTAATCAGGCATTATGTTTTAAATAGATATATTTTCGTTTAGCCGAATTAGTTCATTTACAGTTCTGTGAGTGTCCAAATTCGTTAGGTATTAGTGCATACATATTTACAGAATTAGTAGTTAGCAATATATCTTCATCTCATACAATTGCCTACAGTTTCTAATGAGCCGTTAAATATGAGTTCATAAGAGATGGGCCATTATAAGTCTTTTTTTTAAGAAGAAAGGTTGTGTTGTATGGTTGGTTGTACACCTAAATATTTTGTAAAGAATGATATGTTTAGCAAAACTATGAAATAATTTAATACTGCTGATTGTACTATACAAGGTAAGTAACAAATCGATCGTGCAATACTGCATTAACAAATTTCAGTCCTACTGCAGAAGTGGGAGATATGGTTGTGACGCTGATCCTTACACAAGATGACTTTTAAACAACTCAAAAAAATGGAGCCATTTTTTTAAGCCCTATGTACCCAGTTTGTATAAGCAATCTTATCTGTGCTATGAATGATTTCCTCAGACTTGTTATGATCATATCTTTATCGCTCTTTGTGAATTATTTATGTATAATTTTAAAACAAAAATATTTTGCATGCCATTGCTATGGCAAAACACATGATCATCTTATGTACTGTTTTCGAGCAAATAAAATGACTATTATTATTAATTCCTAATTTGATGTTAAGTTATAATATACAAGCAGTGCCCGCGGATACACCCGTATATACATAACATATTCCAGAGTTCAAGCTCAAACACATTAAGAATAATACAAACATAAGAAATCCGAACCCAAGCATCAGTAGAAACTATTGTGATGGTCCGATAGTTACAGAAAAATGCAAAATTTTATTAATCTTTATATAGCTACTAGTTATAATTATATCACGCCGATTTTATTTTATTTATACTCTTTATTGCACCAATTATCGCACCAAACAACTGATACAAAAGGCGGTCTTATTGCTAAGCAATCTCTTCCAGACTACCTTAAGTTGGATAAATAAATAAAAAAAATATGTAGTTTATTCATTAGATAAATTAGAATTATTCATCTAACTTCGCTATCATTGGCATGAGTGAGTTATATTCTCCAGTACACCTGATACATAGTATAATTGTATTGAGTTGTTTAATTTCCCAAAATCGTTTGACAATTTTATATTATACTTACACGTAACTTAGTATAATATATGTATAAATATTTATATCGTCGGTGAGTATTAATAATAAATAAATAACCCTGGACAATTAACACTATGCCATCTAGTTCCACGGTAAGCTTGTGTTATGTGTACTAGACAACTGATACAGATACTAATATATTTTTGGTAAATATATAATATATATAGAATACAGCTAGACCGATACAAACAGATTCATCACACAGATCAAACTGTGTATGTTTGATACAAATGTTTGCGCCGTTTGAGGAATCGAACCGAATTGATATTAATATTAATGTACCTACATAATGTTTCTTGCTTGCGCAATAGCATATGGTGCGGACACTATTCTCCCAAATTAAAATTTATAAATGAATCTGTATTATTGTAAACCTGTACAACATTTTATTGAAAAGAATACCAGCTAAGTTTCTTGTCAGTTCTTCTCATCTCGAAATCATTCCGAATTGACGGTAGATTTGATACATCATAAGAGTATGTAATAGACCTACACGAATAAAGATATTATGAATGTTGAATTCTTATTTTTGTATTTTCTAATAAAAAACTATAAAACAAAATTATAGTATATATATATGCCACTTCACTGTCTCTACCATTACCATTAAAATATTTATAAATAGATATATATTTATAGATATAATTTTATTCCTTTATAAATAGTTTTCTAAAGCTAGAGTGCTAACAAATTTACACGTAGCTGTATTTTTTAAATAATAAAAACCACTATTACAAATTTAAGCATATTATTTACTTGTTATATTTTTTATATCTTTTGTATATTCAAATACTTTTTAAAATTAAATCGTAATCCTAAAATTATTTACAACCTGTATACACATAAATAGCACGAATAACATCAGGTCATCATGTAAAGTCATCATGCAACTAATGCGTTGGCGTTTCTGATGATAATATGTTGCGTCTCCTTAATATGCACACTATGTTCATCCTTTAAACCAATTCAGGTTACAAAGCAAACTCTTCAGTGTGAAATAATCGTCGAACATTACCAAAATCAAGTTTATGTTGACTATAGAGATGATTCCTTACTTTAATTGCGATTATCTAAACAGCGTAACATAGGTATGCTATGTTTAATCAGACCAATAACCAGTTACTCTATAAGTTTTTGATACTTCTTTTAACTATTATGCATAAAAACTAATATAGTTTTACAGAGGTGGACTTTGAATAAGGTTGTTTGCGTTGGTACTTCTGTCTTATCTATTTTAGCACCCAATAGCTTGTTTTGTGACATGTATTTCGATTGAAGGGTCATATAAGGCTATGTAATAATACAGTACTATCAGATGGGACTACATCTTGTTTACCATTTTAATTCCAAAAAAATATTATAAGAAAAAAGTCAGTAAAATTTTTCATAATAATTTTGTCACTATCAAAACCAGATCTCTTTGCTATCTGTTGCGAAAAATAATTGTTATCAGTTAATAAAATTTGGCATCGGAGTATATGTTGCAGCTTTCTACTCTACCCTATAGGAAAATATCCATACTGTCTCGCTCAGGCTACTATCGGTTTCTCGAAATAAGAAAGTGGTGGAGCAAATGCTGTATTCTAACGTAATATACACCCATCAAAACAATTGAATAGTAACTTCTAAGCTATTTAATAATAAGACATAAAATTTATTAACTTCTCAGTCTGATATAAGTTATGAGAACCTTTCACTTTTCGCAGTGAATGGAAACGCACACATATGTAATGCATACACGATAATTTTAGACAACGCAATGTATGCCGTTATACTATGGCATAGAGTTCATTGTTAATATAGACATTTACTAGGACTTGTTTGGAAAAGATTTTGAATTTTGAATATTTGGGCCCTGAAAAGTAGAATAGTGAAAAGTCAAAACGAATGAATAATTGCAAAGGAATGTGTACCCAGTATGCACTAAGCGTAGGATATGAAATTAATCAATTTGGTTTCCCCACTTAAGCCATAATCATTATGTGAGAGTTACGACACCCGTTTGTATACGATACTGCAGTCAGTTTGGCGGTAAAATCGGTAGTTGACGTTCTGTTCAATTTTTTAAATATGTATTAAAATGTTATTTAAGACAAAGGACGAATGTAAAAGGTGATTGTGATATTTTTTACAAGTGATTAAGTAAGGTGATTTCATTGTATTCAGCCATAATATTAAAATTAATTCGCAATGGATGTGAGATTATGCGTTTTCCTGTTCCTTATTTGTTTAGGTAAGTTTTATTTTATAACAGTTAATTTAAATTTCTAATTTGCAGATCATATATGATTTCAATCGACTTCGAGTTTATCATGCGTAATAGTTTAGTTTACTTGATACAAATGTTTACATTTATATGGAGTTTTGTTTTATTTTTAGATATTGTATATAGAAATTATGATATTTATTAACATGTAAATTTAAATCAGGCATTTTTGGCATTGCTCGACTTTATTAATTAAAATATAATTTTGAATTTTTAAAATGAAACAAAATCTAGGGTTGTTTTAATGTAATTAGTAAACAAATTTAACGTTAAATAACATTATTTATTAAAACATTATTTATAAATTACGTTAGTGCTAGTATGTTCTTTTAATTATTTTTTGTAGCTATCCTGAGACATGACCATTGAGGTAGAGAACTTGACAATTTATATTAATAAAAAGATACTATCAAAACAAGTTAATTCCTAAATTTCACTAGCTTAGAATATATATATAAATGTATAGTTATTAAAGGACATTGACAGAATTCTTAAAACGAAATGAATGTGAAAGCGGGGCTCTTATTTCTACAGTTTGGTGCATTAAAGATTAATTTTCTTTGAATTTTGTATACACATGTATTTAGGGAAGAAGATAAGCTACTGTTAATACCAGTTAATCAAAATGGCCACGAGGACGAAGTAGGCGATAAAAACTAGTTAAGGCATAAGTGAATGGCAAACCCGTGCTGTGGCATTGTTGAGGACAAATTAAGAACTTGACATCCTATAGACCTTTTGTATTAAATGGCAATTAGTTAATGACAATAATGATATGTTTGTATACCGAGTAGGCATATTACGAAATTTAAATGATTATCCCCAGACGAAGTGGTAGTGATTTTACAGCAATGCAATCAATGTAATGAATTTAGTACAATTTGGAGACATAAAAAAAATGTGTGGTTTCGTAACTCCTGATTCACAAGATTGATGATAATGATAACTCAAATTCGATCCTAATTGACAAAAAATATTGCAAAAATATTGTATTTTAAGCAATGTTTATTACTTTACAAACTACTGCTAACAAGACTTGTTTTATATGCATGCTAACGGAATACTCTCTGACGGGGCACCAGCAGAGGATGATAGAAAGAGCCTGAAATCAAGTCAGTTAGCCTATCATGACAAGTTCACCAGGAATTCACCACGACAGTTCCCAGGCAGATTTGCGTCGCATCGATCAGATATTGTTAATGATGGGGTCTCATTTCTAATCTAACTCAAACAACCCTTAACCTCGCGTCGATAACAGATACCTAGTGTATTTTAATTTAGAAATAAACTTGTGTATATTGATGGTAGAAAGATGGGTGGCCGCTTCAATCACAAGCTACTTCGGTGTTGCGTTTAGCTCCTTTACGCAACATCATATGCGTTATTGATACACTGCGGTAGTAGTCTAAACAATGCTATTTTTGACTGTCAAATACTGCGTGGTTATCAATTTTCATGACTATTAATCATAAGACTATTAAGACTAAGAAACATATTTTATTATTAACATGAAATGTCATGGTTGTCCTTTACTACTAGTCTTTTTCTTTTAAATAATACAATGTGTTCGCGTAATTGTTTGGCATTTTTATTTTGTTTCATGCATTGTTTACTGGGTTTCTAAGTTATGTATTATCATCATCATCTGTTTCTTCCTTATCCCACTTATTTGGGGTCTGCGTAATATGTTGTTCTTTTTCATTCATCCCTGTTTGCAGTCATCTAGGTATTTACTCCTTATTTATAAGTTATGTATATGGCCAGTATATTTTTAATTCAAATTACCACTCTATTGCCCAATCCAAAATTTATGTACCCAATGGGTTTCCTCATAGCGGATTCTGCCGATCAGCCAGTTGTTAGTCTAGTGTGTGAGAATCAACAATAGCACATAAAATATTGACAAAACTGCTGCTTTCATAATCCCAAAACCGTGAACTGTTGTTAGGGCTTCGATATTGTAATAAGTTGCCAATGGCAATAGAAGTAAAGGTCATTTTACTTTGCCGAATCAGTTAGAAATATACGTATGTACACAATAATATAGATTTTTAAGTTGAAGAATTTATAGCTTTTTATATTCGCTGACGGAGCTATTGCAATATTTTATTAACTTAAGGGGATCTTTCACTAAACACCATAACACTACCATTTAAGGATATACCAGGAAACCATTTAAGGAATTAGGTTGTATGTAAAATATAGTATATATAGTCTATACATATAGATAGTCATTTATAAACTAATTTGAAAAACTTACAGGTAAATCAGTTCGGTAGTTTGGTTTTAAATAACTTGAAAAATATGTCACTTCGTGGTCTCTAATATAGTCCCAATGATTTTTTTATCCGATGACGATTAACGATGGTAAAATCGTAGTAAAACAATATAACCCACTCTTGTATGTTAAGGACTGAAGTTTTTCGTGGTAATAAAAAATCTCTTTATTGCTATTAAATCAAATCAAATCAAAATGTATATATATATATATATAGAAGAACAGACAAGAAGGTTAGCTTACGAATTAGTTGATAACTATTATATAAATATATATATATATTTATTCTTCGAGAGATAATGAATAGAGAATGAATAGAGATAATAAATTCTTCTTGTATTATTTTCAAGGTTTCTAAGACTACTATGTGGTATACACTCATTTTCTAGATTTGCGTCGTGTGGCTCATGGAGGCTTTAATTGCTTAACATGTGACACAGTACACGTATCCGTTTGAGGCCGTGTTGCGTAAACTTAGATCAGAGTTCATGTTTAAAAACTTTTTAGGGATTGCCAAGACATATTTGTATTTTAATTCTTATGTAATATGTATTCGAAAGTAACTCTGTCTGTTTATTTCCAATATTGTCATGACTAAAAATGTGATATATTATTCAAATTTTGTTGAGTTTGGAATTCGACAATGTATTACAAAAAGACAATAAGTTCCATTCTACATACTTATTATACCTATATCAATATATAGTCAGGTATCTTTTTACAAGTACATATTGGAAATAAGTACAATAATATTATAAATGCGAAAGTTTGTAAGTATGGATGCTGCTTATTTTTTCACACAAAACCTACTAAACGGATTTAGCTTAGGCATCAGAATAACATATACCTAGGCTATTTTTTTATTGAAAATAAGCCGGTTTGAACCGCGGTCACGGCTTGTTAATATATAAAATACTTAATTCCATGAATATCTATGGTTAATTGTACTGTATATATTTGTATCATAAATAAGATATAATTACATAATCCATTTAATTTTTCTTTCAGTGTCAAGTTCGGTGATCATACCAGAGGAACTGCCGTCTCTACTATCAGTAGCTTATTCAAATATACCACCCATAAAGAAAGGTAACTATTAATAGTAATAAAAAACACAATAAATTTTAGGTATGAATGTAAAAGAGTGTATGTTTGTTAGTTAATCACGCTTAAATGGTTATTAATAATAAATAAACGACATATTCTAGTGTATACACATATGTTATTTCAAACCAACTTCACATATTTAGTTACTTTCATTATTTCATAGGGAATCAATATTATTTCAGGCACTGACTCCAGGGTTGGATTTGGATTTGCGTTCGGTAATCACGCCGATTTTCAAGTTGTCTTCGAATTGGGGCCGCAGACGACAACACAAAATCTAAGTAAGTCTTTTAAACTAAGATAGTACTAAACTAATTATATAATAACTTTAAAGACTATGTATTTGTATGTAGTGTATATAAATACACAATACACTACACACAAATACATACTCTTTCTTCTCGTATTAAGATATTTTCTTTGAATATATTAAAGTATTAAAGCAATAGTTATAGTTATTACTTACTTGTACCAAGCCTTCCATTTTTATAAGGTTCTACAGGTATACAATACAAGATTAGTGCTACAGTAAACTTAAGTAAAGCTTGCTATTTCTAGCACTAATAAAAATAAAGACGGACCGACCACCCGAGTAAATCTAGGTAGACATTGTACAAAGGCGTGTGCGTGGGTAGGCACTAAAATAGGTGAGACAAGAGCTGTCTTTCTTATTTTAGCAGCTTGCTTCACAGCTGTGTTTTGAGGTCTAAAATTATGGCATTAAAATTAAAAGGCCGTGCTGAGGCATGTCTCCTTAACTTTCTGAAATAGCAGCGCATGATACTACGGGCGTCACATGACGACGTCATATCCGTGGTACTGTATGGTGGACTCATGTATACTCGTATATAAGCTTGAACCGAAAAAGTTTCCAGTTACATAAAAAATGTTTTATTTTTTTTATGGATTTTAATAATAGGTATATACTTATTTCACAGCTGGTCAAGGGTTTTCATCAAGCAACACCAAACGCCAAGCGCCCTCGCTACCTCCCCCAAAATTCAACAAGAATAGAGAAAAGGTAACTTTTAAAAACACTGCTACAACCTACTATTACCCACATTTATTTGCGCTGGAAGCTTTACTTACGACTAATTTGTGATTATTTTTATTAGGTATTACAGACTATAATATTTGAGCTATAACGGTGACTTTATGTTAAATTGTTCTCTCCAAATGAAATATATGGTACAGTCAATGACATTATAAAACGAATTAACAATTATCAATGAGGTATATAATTGTTATTTGTGATTGAAGTATGGTATATCTTATGGTCTTTTTACGTCACTATAAATATATATTTTCTAATCCAATGATTACAGTCAGATGGTGGCAAATATCTGCAGACTTGGGCACAGAAGATGAAACATCCACCTAAACTAAACAAGGAGATAGCCAGGCCAGGCGAGGTTCCAAACTTGGAAGAATCCATGGTCGAACTCGTGAAGAACGAAAAGGGCGAGTACGAGATCCATCAACCGAGACCTGGGAATCTACCACAAAAAATTCTAGATGACTTAAAAAGGTACTAATCTAAAGATACCATTATTAAGGCCGCGAAATATGGATGTGCATATTGGAATAATTTTAAAATTAACAATCCTGTGGACTACGTATATTACAAACGTATAATAATTAAAAACTGTTTTTCTATTGTCCTTAAAATCAATTATTTTCATTGACACAGTTTTTTTCCGTTAGCAACTTATTTTTTTCTTCTGTTCCTTGTATATCCGCAATCAGTAAGTGTACTATAATGGGATTGGTTGGTAAATTACTATACAAGTCTACAGTCCAGTGACTGCACGACTTTTTATTTAAAAGATGCAACCCGTAAGCAACTATCTATCGTTTTCTTTATATAAAGTTAATACAGTCAAATTAAACAATTCGTTAAAAAACATGTTACAAATACTAAACACAACACTGCCATCTAACCTCACTTGCAGTAAAATTTCACAGATGGTTATGAACAGGTTTTTAGGTCTCTCATAGATGGCGCTGTAGAAACATTCAACTCTATTGTGAATATTAAGACATGCTTTTATTATAAGCTGTCAAAAGGTGGCGTTGTATGTCTACATATAATATTGTAATGAGTGAGATGAGACACTTGTATTTTTTACTATTTTAATGCTTGCATTGCATTGAAATTGCAATGCAAGCATTTCACATCAATCGGTTAGGACGAAGAGTACAGAAGGCACTCCGAATCTGCAAATGGACTTATGGAGCGGTTGAAAGCCAACTCCTGCCTGACAACAATAGTCTGAGCACTGCTGTGGATTAGAACCTCCGTGGTTGTATCAGTCACATTATTTGATATTTTTTGGAATCTGTTTTTAATTATCTTTTTATATTACCTTTGAAAACTAAGATATATATTTATTTTCAGGCTCTACGGACAGAAAAAAGAAGAGGCAATCAAGCTGGGAGAAACGAAGCGGAGTGAAGAGGATATTAAGAAGATAACGGACGACCTATCTGATGTTGACTTGGATTAAGAATTACTGGATTAAATGTGTATTTGTAGTATTAATATGACCTTATTATTTCTGTAAATTTTTGGTGAATAGACGAGGATAGATTCACCACTGGCCTGCCACGTTGAATTCAAATATAACCAGCGATGGGGTACTTATAGGGATTGTCACTCATATTTGTGTCAGGATGTATACGTATCGTAGTTATGTACATAACGAGAACGTGTGAGGAGCAGATGACACAGTTTATTTCTAAGTTGAAAACATTGAAAAGTAAAGGTTACTACACCTTTCAGTTAATTTACAATTTTTGATAGATTAAAGACATTTGATAGAGAAAATACATCGTACATATTACGATCTTTATCGACATTGTAATTGGATATTATGTTTATTTTTTCGAACTATTCTGATGCTAATAATACGCTTCTGGCTTTTATAGCTTCACCGAACGATAGTAGGCGGTGCAGATGACACTCTTAACCCGCGGAAGGACTTATAGTGACTGAAGGCAAACTCCTGCCTGATTGATACGACTTTAGTCTATAGCGCCTCACTAGATTCGAACGTTGACTGAGGCCGTCGTATTTTTGATCACCGTTTGAATTAGACGGGGGATCGATCGGAGGGGGGTATTATAATGTAAACTGCGTACAATGTATAAAGCACGCCGTACTTCCGACTTAGATTTTTAGTACAGGATATAGTTTTTTTAACGTTAATGTAACACATATACTCAGTCGTCTGCCCGCCCTGATTACGCCCATGAACACGCAAGATAATTTTACTACTTTTATACTTATTCTATGCAATTATATATACACCTTTTACAGTTCTTGCACAGTTCGTATCAGCGACCACAATCGAGATCGGTGCAGTGTTTCTTGTCTGTCATCTGAACAATGGAAATGTATATAAATAATGCATAATGAATTTATACAAATGTGAAGCATTTTAATTATAATTTCGTTATCTCTGAATAATGAACTATTTCAGTCCTACATGTTGGAGTTATATCTTAATTTATATACATCATACATTTAATAAAAATTTACTGATCTCTGTCTGTAATGGAAGATACAAGAAAACAATTTGGAAGATTTTATCAACGCAAAGTCCTCTAATAATAATAATGTATTGATGAATATGGAGTGGTGAACCCGCCAGCGCTAACAAACGCTGGTGGAGCATCAGCGGATGATAAGATGAATGATGAATTCGCCCACTTCGTTACGATGAATATCTTGTATATTTGGTAGAATGCACAAAGCGATACGAAGTCTCGTCTCGAGCTAAATAGTTCGATATCGTTAGAAAGATCCAGATCATCGTCTTATCTTACCTTCACTGCCTTACACTTACTAGCTGGCTGAGATACGTGGACAGAGGTACCCAGGCATGCAGACCACATTTCACAAAGTATTACTCCGCATATATGTATGTATTTCTGGTCGCACATACAACATATCTCTATAACCCCTATTATTAAACACGACAATGTATTTAAAAAATGTCTTTCCATTTTGAAATAGATTTAGTTCTGTTCCGTGATACTCAATGGTGGAGAATCCATCATAACAGTTAATACGGACAAATAGACAGACGGACAAACAGTTTTTATATATGTATCAGCTTGTTATAGTTGTACAAAACAACGAGTCGGCGCTTAAGACGTCGTATGAGCACTTACGGCCAATTTATTAAAAGATCAGTCGGCTGGTCCAAGGCTCCAGCAAATAGCGTGTTTAACATTTTTTATAATATGTAACTTAAATAGCAAACAAATTAATCGTCCATCAAGTAGTAAGTGTTACTCTTCATGTACATGAACACAGAAATTACATCATCATATGATGCCCGTACTACTCCTCACGCGTTCTCATTTCGGAGGACTAGTATATCATGCCCTTGTAGTCAGTAATTTTTACTGCTATATCTCTACTCTCTCCTCCTGTAACATAATCCAATACCTGTGGATACCTCTGTCCCTCTTATTTCAGCTACCAATTCGCTTTTGGCTAAAATTTTACCGAAATAATGACCAAAGTATGCTATTACGAGTAAAATAAAATATAAATGCTTATATTAAACCAAAGGAAACCACAATATTTACAGAAAAACAAAAAATAATAACTTACATAAATAATTTATATTTTTTTTAAGTTATTGACCTCTGTCCTATAAATTACAATATTGTAATCGCTACTGCTTATCACTTATATACATAGCAGCCGTACACACAATAGTTTTATTTTGAATGTACGTTGGGAATCGAACCCGCGCTAAGCCGCTTATTTTTAATAGACATATCGCGGTGCTCTGACGGAATCTGATGAGTGTATCGTATCCTTAGTCTTAGGGATACAACTAACTCTAACTCGCGGCTTCGTCTGTGTTATATAAATCGTCATGACAAACAAGCTGACGGCCAACCTGATAGTAGTACGTCTATATGAACATGACGGTTGCGGTGGTGCAGCGCTTTAGCGCACGCTTTAATTCCGATGGTCGCGGGTTCAAGTACTAACACTTGTATTCATGAGTATAATTGTTTATATAGATTTTGGGTGTTTTCTATATATATTATGTATATATTTACAAAAAAATATTGCGAATTTTTATCTGTTGTCTAGTACACAGAACATAAATCTGTTAGATGGTGCTTTGTTAATTGTCCAGGACTATTTTTTTATTTATCACGTCATTAAGTGATGCGTTGCCATTCTGAAGAACAAAGATGTCATGCCTCTTATCTTGTAATTACACTTTCTTATATAAAGCAAGATACTTGTCAGCTGAAATAGGTAAGACGCAGACGACTATGTACTAAGTACCTAGAGGAATACACCGGGGTAGACCCCGGTGTATTCCTCTAGGTTTCACTAGACGTGGTCACATTCTTTTAGTCAGCTTATAATTTATATTTGCACTAACCGGCAAATCGAAACATCAAGAAACTTTATTTGTCATAAAATTATTAATAAATCGTGCGGAAAACAAAAGTTTAAAAATAACTACTAATATAGTCAATACTTAGATTTGTTCAAATTTAAAATATATGTGATTAAAACTCATTGCACTCTTTATCTAAGACCAATTTGCTTCATATTTTCCTTTTACATATAATAGACATCTACGTCGTCGGTGTGCTACGACGTTGATGTCTTTTGTATGAGAACACAAAGTTTTAACAATGAGCCGCTGTTACATAAATGATGTAGGAAAGTCGGAACTCAATATCAATGAAGAAATTAATATCTATTAAGTGGGACTATGTTAATTATAAATAGCTAATTATAAAGTGATAAGTCTAACTGTAAAGTGATAAGGGGTAGTTAAAAGCACTGTCGGTTGTAGACGCGTGGTAAAGGTATAATAAAAGCATAAAGGCATTTCAACATTTTCTAAAAGTAGTTAAATGTAATCATGTTGGAGATAAACTAGATATCTTTTGCATTCAATATGTTAGTTAGCGATATTCTTAATACTAGAGAATTAGTAAGCAATATAAATCGATAGATTAGAGTAATTTTTTGTAAAGTCCAGATATAAATTTCCGAAAAAACTGGTGTATAAAGCACTAGATTACGAGTCTTTAAATAACAAAGTCCTTGTTTGTAATTCGTTATAGCCAATGAGATAAATTGTAAAACTGATTTTAAATTTTAGTATTATTAATAACTTATAGTAATTATTGAAATGAAATAATTTATTTTCGACATTTTGGTACAGTATTATAATTAATATAATGTTACATGAAATTGATTGATCAGCAATATTTACCATACAGGCATGCAAATTACGTGAAGGTGTTTGTGTTACTTAAATATTCTTGGATACTGTAAAATCACCAAGTGACAGCCAATTCTTTAGTTTGCGTTTGAATAAAGTATGAGATCCCAGTTCTTTAATCTCTCTTGGAAGATTGTTGTACATTTTGATTGCTATACAGTATACATTTCTCTTATGTAAGTCTAATCGACAAATTGGTGTGTCGTGTGTCTATTTACAATTGACTTCAAATTTTATTACTCAATTCTCTACATACTATGACTATGGAGGTATACTTTGCACAAAGTCGTTTGCGTGGGAATTTCTATCTGTTTCAGCTTCTCGACCTATTTCAGCTCCCAATCAGCTTGCTCTAAGTAAGGCGTGTGTCGGTAGAAGGAAGAGATATGGTAGTGAAATTATAGGGTAAGGAAGCACGACATCTTATATCAATGGGTGTCCTAGCATGGTATGATACCTCAAACATTGCTCATGAAAGTATTATGGTTATTAAGTCACGTCAGGTGGGTCGATAGTTTATTAGGGAGTTACATAAAAGAAATGTAAATTAATTTTTGTAATCACGTGTTTTAGTAGAATATACAATACTTTAAAGTTTAACTGCAATATCTTCAGGTTTTTATGTAATTGAAATGGTAAACAAGTTGATGGTCCAACTGATGGTAAGTGGTAATGTTTGCTTATATATGTATATGAACAGCAACTACGGGCATCATGTAATTTTGTGACGTTCATGTGTTGCAATTCCAGAAGATGTTATGCCTCTAATCAGATAATCAAACAATGAAGAAAATGGAAAAGCAATCATTAATTGGAGAAAAAGTTACAGGGTTCCGGTTTCGTGTAGTCAAAATGGAATCTTAAAAATCAAGCTCAAACAACAGTTTTCGGGCAAAGGGAAATTTCCACAAAGCTTATAATTATCGAGGCGTTACTCCCCAAAAACCACACCCAGTAAGAAATAATTCAACGCAAAAAATACCATTTGGGCGGAGCCTCCAACCGTAATACGCCTGTACCAGAACGTAATTATAACCCGGCAAAATTGCGTTGGTACTTACCCTCCATGTTTTAAGGTCGCCATTTGTGTTTTAAAGAGTTTTTTCGCCTTTGTCAGAAACAAGTTCACCACAATTGCAATGGGTCGGATAATTAAGCCCATTTTGCTGTTCGCAGTGGTATTCCATTGGTTTTTTGATGGATACCTGCGTGCAGTTAGTTTCTTTTGATTGTCA